AGGCTTGGCTTAGGCTTGGCTTAGGCTTGGCTTAGGCTTGGCTTAGGCTTGGCTTAGGCTTGGCTTAGGCTTGGCTTAGGCTTGGCTTAGGCTTGGCTTAGGCTTGGCTTAGGCTTGGCGAAAAACCGACCGGAGCCGGACTCGGCACCAATCCCTGCTCCTCCCTCTCCTCCACCAATTTCCGTCTCTTCACACGTGCATTGCCCGGGTGCCCGTCGGTCGGAGCGTTCTCCAGAAATTTGCAAACTAAAGCTCCTCAAAGATATCTGCTAGTCTGCTCTACTGTAGCACGTCTCGTTCCGCTGCAAAACGATCACATCCGCCCACACAGGTCGAATATTGGGCCACCGGTACTCCCAACGAGAAGAAAACGCCATCTGGCAGGTGACTGAAATGGCAAATGGTCTCTGCTAGCCTGCCCTTGAACACCTTGAAACCTACTGTAGGTCCTGTTGAGTCCGTCCATGGGCATTTGCCCGTGGACGGGGAGCAACAAGAAGAAGAAGAACACCAGCAGCCAGGCGAGCCGCATCTTGGCTGGAAAATGCGGAATCTGCAGAAATATTTTTCCTTATTTGGACCTCGGATGCTAATTAGGCTCACTCGGGCAGGCTAGCAGAGATTCTTTGAGGAATGGAGGGGCAGGCTAGCAGAGATTCTTTGAGGAATGGAGGGGGCAGGCTAGCAGAGATTCTTTGAGGAATGGAGGGGCAGGCTAGCAGAGATTCTTTGAGGAATGGAGGGGCAGGCTAGCAGAGATTCTTTGAGGAATCGAGGGGCAGGCTAGCAGAGATTCTTTGAGGAATGGAGGGGCAGGCTAGCAGAGATTCTTTGAGGAATGGAGGGGCAGGCTAGCAGAGATTCTTGGAGGACCGGATTGTATTTTTTGGAATTTGCATACCAATTATGCGTCGAAAAGTGTCAAAAGTGACATTTTTAATTTCATTTGCTCCCCGGCCCCTTATTACGCCATGGTAACCAGTGACCAAACCAGCAGCAAGGTCAAAGACGACCTGCACACCGTAAGGTTTTCCCAAAGAACCCAGCTAGCCTGCCACGTCCATTCCTCAAAGAATCTCTGCTACCTTGCCTTTCAGTTCCAAGTGCTCGCCATGCTGGCCGGCTTCACGCTGATGTGCGCGTGGATTGCGTGGAATGTCGTCTCGGTGGTGCGCGCGAGGAACAGCATCCCGCTCGAGCTGCGGCAGCAGTACATCGCCAACAAGCTGGGTAGGCTCCTTTCAAGGGACTAGAACACTTCCCAAATGATCTCTGCTAGTCTGCCCCCTCCCCCTCTCTCTCATCCCAAATGATCTCTGCTAGCCTGCCCCCTCCCCCTCTCTCTCATCCCAAATGATCTCTGCTAGCCTGCCCTCTCCCTCTCTCTCATCCCAAATGATCTCTGCTAGCCTGCCCCTCCCCCTCTCTCTCATCCCAAAGGATCTCTGCTAGCCTGCCCCTCCCCCTCTCTCTCATCCCAAATGATCTCTGCTAGCCTGCCCCTACGCCTAATTTCAGCCGAAATGGAGATGATGTACGCGTGTATGGGGGACGAGGATGATTCGGTGAGGAAGGATGAGGTGGACCCGGAAGGCATCGACGTCCAGACCTGAAGCTACCATCTACAGCTTCCTTTTAAGTCCCTCAAACTCTGCTATGCGCATTTTTGGATTGTGATTTCGATGTTTTGCCGAATAAAACTGGATTTTGCATGCGAGAGAGGGAGAGTGAGAGAGCGAGAGAGAGAGAGAGAGGGAGAGAGGAACAGAGAGAGAGCGAGAGAGAGCGGGAGAGCGAGAGAGCGAGAGAGAGAGTGCGAGCGAGCGAGAGAGCGAGAGAGCGAGGCGAGAGAGGCGAGAGAAAGAGCGAAAGAGAGAGGGAGCGAGAGAACGAGAGAGAGCGGGAGAGAGAGTTCGAGAGAGGGAGAGAGAGCGAGAGAGACAGCGAGAGAGATAGAGAGAGAAGCCGTGTTTTGTTTATGGAGACACTCTTCAAATATCGCGCCAATCAGCATGCGACAAAAACAGAATCAACAGTTCCCCTGAATATCTCGGAATTAGCGTGCGCTTCCGGTGCTCTCGCGTTAAATATTTAGCGTGCCGAGTTTTCCCCCATAGATACGCCGGATAACAGCCAGTACCATGTGGGCTTGCTGGCTTCTACTGCTCGCCTGCTGGACGCCGATTCACGCACAAATACCGTATCCGGGAACGTCGAAGGAAGCATGGGGTGGGTTTTGGTTAGAGTTCAGTTTACCCCCAGCCGATCCCACCTACCGTATCTCGGCTGCCTGTTCAGCTACAGACGTGTAAAGTATACCAAAGTATTCGTCTTGCTCTGGCGAGCATTTTGGTATACTTACACAGCTGTAGATCAACAGGGTGCCGAGATACGGCAGGTGGGGGGGCTGGGGGGGTAAACTGCACCTAAAAAATTTCCAGGTACCACAAACCCTATCTTTTTTCCAGTGTATTGCGAGATGAAACCGGCGCGGTCGTCGCTAACGTGGTTAGTGCTATACAGTTTGGCTAGACTGCAGATACCTCCCCCCCTCGAGCCCTAACTCTTCAGCCATAAGCCCTATGAAGAGCTTGGGGTATCTCAAAATGTGCGCCGTCAGCGAATTACTGTAAATAATTCCGTGCGTTAGATTAAAAATTCTTATAACAATTATAAGTCAGGGTTCCTTTAGTTAATTTTTGCTCGTCCAAAGTGAGTTTTCGTATCTCGGCTATATTTGGACGTACGGAGCTGTCAATGGTACGAAAATGTAGCTCTTGCTCTGGAGAATCAGCCTACAGTATGTTTAAGTAGAAAATGCTAGAAAGTTTTAGACTCCTAGTACATCGAAGCAAAGCGGCCTAATCTTTTCAACTTTCAAAATCTTTAAAAAAAATTTTAACAATTTTTGGCGCAAGTAAACAACTTTTTTATAGGTTTCCGACCACGGCGAACATTTTGAAATACTCCACGCATTAATAGGACTTATGGCTGAGGAGCTGGGGGGGTGGTAAACTGAACCGTAGCCACAGCCTGTACTTTTGTTCTAGGCCCGACGGAAAGCAAACGGTGTGGACGCCGGCGGTGATGTTCCATTTTAAATCCGAGAAACAAGAAACATGCATCGGTGGGCACTTGGCTTAAAGCGCACGTTCAGGGAGGGGCCGTGTACTCGTCCCAACGTGTCCACCCTATGGACGTTGGGACCGCGCGCACTGCCTGCCCGTGGCGTGGCAGGCAATTCTCCTCCTCTCCGGGGTGGGGCGCCCCTTCGGCCCTTGCCAGGTTGTAGCTGTGGCTGACTGGTATCCATCCGCGCCTCCCGAGCGGGGGGTCCGGGTTCGACCCCCGTCCGCGGCAAAAATCTTTGCTTTTTTCCAAAAAAACGTCCCTGAACGTGCCCTTTAAAGCGCACGTTCAGGGAGGGGCCGTGTACTCGCCCCAAAGTGCACACCCTATGGACGTAGGGACCGCGCGCAGGGCCTGCCGGTGCCGTGATAGGCCATTCCCCTCCTTTGCGGCGTCGGGCGCCCCTCGGGACCCCTCGCCAGGTTGTAGCGGTGGCTGACTGGCATGCGACCGCGGCTCCCAATCGGGAGGCCTGGGTTCGACTCCTGGCCGCGCCGAAATCTTTGCTTTTTCCAAAAAAAGCGTCCTTGAACGTGCGCTTAGTCCCCCTCCCCAGCCGGCACTCACCCACGGTATCTCGGCTCCCTGTTGATCTACAGGTGTGTAGGTATACCAAAATGCTCGCCAGAGCAAGACGAGCATTTTGGTCTACTTTACACTCTGTAGCTGAACAGGCGGCCGATATACAAGAGGCCGGCTGGGGGGGGGGATGGGTTATCTGGAGTCTTACCAATTTTTACATCCTCTACGGGGTGTCCCAAATTATCCGGACAAAACTGAAAACTGACTTTTCAATTTTTCCGCTGTTTTCGGCCCCCGCATTGTATTTCATAATATTTTTGAGGCATTTCGATGCACCGTGCAAAAAAAAATCCTTAGAGAACGCATTAATAGCTTCACAAGCGAGCGAAGAGCGTGTTAAAATTTTTCGCCTCCTAAATAACATAAAACTGGGGTGCAAGGGAAAATAGGAAGAAACCGCTTTGAAACTTTGTCCGGATAATTTTGGGACACCCTGTAGAATTTTAGTGTGCAAGTGCCACAAAATTTGGCCAACCGACATTCATCCAATCCACGGCTGGCGATGGGTAGGTAGTAAAAAAGAGAACTCTAGGAGGACTCGAAATTTCCAGGACGGCACGCCGGAGGACTGGGAGGCCCGCATTGGCAAGTGGTGCGTTTTTCGCGTGGACGCCGAGGCGAATAGGGCCTACCCGCTGCTGAAGTGCATGCTAAATGTGACACGTCAAGGGGATTACTGCAGTGGGTTTTTTGTATTTTTCCACCGTTTCTTGTGTCTCTAAAACCGGCTAAAGTCTAGTTTACCCCCGGGGGAGCCGCAACTTTTCAGCCATACGTCCTATTAATGCGCCGAGTATTTCAAAATGTTCCCCGTGGTCGAATTACTATAAAAACGTTGTTTCCTTACATCAAAAATTGTTAGAAAAATTTTTAGAAAAATTATAAGTCTGGGTTTTCTTTAGTTAATCTTTGCTGTTCCAAAGTGGGTTTTCGTATCTCGGCTATCTTTTGACGTACAGAGCTGTCAATGGTACCAAAATGTAGCCCTTGCTCCTGGAGAATAAGCCTACAATGTATTTTGAGTCGAAAAAATAGCGGAAAACAAAAAATATTTAGGTTTTTGGCTCCTGGTACATTGAAGCACAGCGGCTTAATATTTTCACATTTCAAAATCTTGTAAAAAATTTTCTAACAATTTTTGCCGTAAGGAAACATCTTTTTTATAGTTATTTGACTACGATAAACATTTTGAGATACTCCACGCATTAATAGGACTTACCGTAATTGAAAAGTTTGGGCTGGGGGGGGGTTAAACTAGAGTCTTACCGGGCTAAACTCCAGATAACCTACCCAGCCGACTCCACCTACCGTATCTTGGCTCGCTGTTCATCTACAGGAGGTAAGGTATACCAAAATACTCGTCAGAGCAAGACGAACATTTTGGTATACTTTACACATTTGTAGATGAACAGGGAACCGAGATACGGTAGGTGGGTGCCGGCTGCGGGGGGGTAAACTAGAGTCTTACCAAAAGCACCCCCCTTTTCCAGCATTGAGCGAATGGTCCCGTCCAGTCGACGAAGAAACTGAACCCGGTGAGTGCGGGGACGGGTAGACCAGTACGAGCTCTTTAATTCACAACGCCACCAAGATTGGGTTGTTCGCCTAGCCCAGGTTTCGACGCTGTAATCCCGCATATTTAGATGCCGATGTTTGGCGGCAATTACCACAGCTTGTATCCGGAAAATGTGAACCTCACAGAGCACATGGTAGTTGAAATTTATTAGTGGAAATAGCATTTACAGTACCCTCCCTGGCTCTCTCCCACAAACTTCACCACCCCCGCCGTGCAGGCTGATGATGATATGTGGGTGAACAATTAAAGCACTGGACTCAAAATAAGCGGTTCTGGGCCGTTAGCGGGGGGGGGGACGCGTCGAACTTCCTTGGGCTTCCAACTGTTGTAGCTCAGCTCGATGATGTGCTACTGGGCCGTGAAGTATACCAAAATACTCCCCAGCCCCGGGCGCACATTTTGATATACTTGACACCCCTGTAGCACGACGGGAAGTTGGACCTATGGTTCGGGTCGCGATACGCGACGCGTCGAACTTCCCGGGGCTTCCAACTGTCGTAGCTTAGCTCAATGATGTGCTACTGGGCCGTAAAGTATACCAAAATACTCCCCAGGCCAAGACGCACATTTTGGTATACTGTAAAGCTTTCTAGCACCACGGGGAGCTGAGGTACAAAACTTGGGGGATCGGCCTGGGGGATCAACCTGTGCGGTTCTCGATTTTTCCAGTTTTTTAGTAATTTTTTCCCTGTGATTTTCTACGGCGCCATAACAAAATGCAAATCATTTTTAGAGCATTTTTAGAGCAATCCGCTTCGCTTTTCAGACCCTTCGAGACATACTATTATACCGGGATGATCATCGCCATTCCCCTGACCATCTTCATCACCGTCCTTGCCTGCGTGTACTTCGGAATTGCGAAAAGGGCCGAGACGCTTGAGGGTTCTGGTGGGGTTTAACTCATAGAGAGAGAGCAGAGAGAGAGGGAGTGAAAGAGAGAGATAGAGACAGAGAGAGCGCGAGAGAGAGAGAGGGAGAGGGGCGAGCGAGAGCTAGAAAGAGAGAGTACACGCTTTACAGAGCGCGCCACTTCCAACTCTGATGACCCGTCGGACCCGCCGACTGCCTCTGAAAAAGCCCCCGAGACGACGCCAGCTTGATGGTGCATCCGGGTTGAAGAATTAGACAACTTTCCCGGGTTACTCTGGTGTTCTGGAATAAATATGAAAAAGCGGGTGTTGCTGGAAAAAGTTATTCTGAAGGATTTCTGCTAGTCAGCCTCTCTCTCCATTTCTATCTCTCTCTCTCTCTCTCTCTCTCTCTCTCTCTCTCCCCTCTCTCTCACTCCCACTCTCTCGCTGCTAGATTGCATCGATGGCAATTTGCATTCTGGCGTATTCTAAAATTCAAAATTCGTTTTTGCGCACTTTTCCGAGGTTCATGCACCTGCTCGGCTTCTTCCTGCTGCTTTTGACAGCCACAGATGGTGGGCAGGCTAGCAGAGATCATTTTCGAAGCGCGACACCGTTCCTTTCAGGTGCCATCTTCTACTGCAGCGTCACCGAGCCGCCGATCGCCAAGAACAAAAATCCCCGACCGTGCCACATCCATGCCGACGACTTCAAGTAGGTTTTCAAAAATGATTAACTTTATCATTTCTTAGCTCATCTCCGGACCGGGATAGCCGCGTCTTCTTCAGCGAGATATTCGAACTCCAGGACAATGATCCGCTACGGTAATTTTCCCCAAAATGATCTCTGCTAGCCTGCCCCCCCTCCCCTCTCTCATCCCAAATGATCTCTGCTAGCCTGCCCCTCCCCCCTCTCTCCTCATCCAATGATCTCTGCCCCAATGCACCTACCCCTCTCTCATCCCAAATGATCTCTGCTAGCCTGCCCCCTCCCTCTCTATATCATCCCAGCCGATCTCTGCTAGCCTGCCCCCTCCCCTTCTCTCTCATCCCAAATGATCTCTGCTAGCCTGCCCCCTCCCCTCTCTCTCATCCCAAATGATCTCTGCTAGCCTGCCCGTCCCCTCTCTCTCATCCCAAATGATCTCTGCTAGCCTGCCCCCCTCCCCCTCTCTCTCATCCCAAATGATCTCTGCTAGCCTGCCCCCTCCCCCTCTCCCCCATCCCAAATGATCTCTGCTAGCCTGCCCCGTCCCCTCTCTCTCATCCCAAATGATCTCTGATGATAGCCTGCCCCGTCCCTCTCTCTCATCCCAAATGATCTCTGCTAGCCTGCCCCCTCCCTCTCTCTCATCCCAAAATGATCTCTGCTAGCCTGCCCCCTCCCCTCTCTCTCATCCCAAATGATCTCTGCTAGCCTGCCCCCTCCCCTCTCTCTCATCCCAAATGATCTCTACTAGCCTGCCCCGTCCCCCCTCTCTCATCCCAAATGATCTCTGATGATAGCCTGCTGTCCCCCGTCCCTCTCATCCCAAATGATCTCTGCTAGCCTGCCCCCTCCCCCTCTCTCATCCCAAATGATCTCTGCTAGCCTGCCCCCTCCCCCTCTCTCTCATCCCAAATGATCTCTGCTAGCCTGCCTGCCTGGAACTGCTAGTTGATTCTAGTATGCGACGAGCCGTCGGTGATGTGCTTCTCGGTGACGACGCGAAACGGAAATGACGCTGGCTGCTACGAGACGAGCACCGTCGTCCGGGACGACGAGTGCGAGTGCAGTACGTATCTTGTACTGCTCCGTACTGTTCCGTAGCTCTATAGCCGATACCTATAACTGGATATAACTCGAATTTTTAGAAGGATCCAGCCCCGGCATCGCCCCGAAGAAGCTGATTTCTGGTACGTCACCGAACGCCTTGAAAAACACGGCAATTTAGCCGACCCCCAGCTCGCCAAGCTGTTCATCGGCATCGTCTCATTGGGGAAGAAGAAAAAGCGGCCGGTTCGTTTCAAGCCCTAAGCCAAGCCTAAGCCAAGCCTAAGTCGAGCCTAAGCCAAGCCTAAGCCAAGACTAAGCCAAGCCTGAGCCTGACTGACTTCAGAACGCGACAAAGTGCTCGGAGTCCAACTACATTGGCTACGTCGACGCCGACATGGACGTCAAACCCGTAGGTTTTCTATGTTTTTACAGCCGAATGTTTTTAGCCTCCCCCGGCCACGCGGAAACCTTCCGGAAAACCACAAAATCCAGGGCAACCCGGCGGCAAGGAGTGAGTGCCTTCTGGAGCTTGAGCATTATCGGGGGGGGAGGTATCATAGTCGTGTGTTTTTAGTAAAATTTCATCGGATTTGAAGTGGAAAACGATCTAAAAAATTCGGAACCCCCCCCCCCGATAACGCGAAAGCTCCGCCAAATAATTTTCAGTGGGAAACCTGGCGAGACGACGGGACCGGTGGGCGACTCCGTTACGCCGGATGAGAAGCAGTGGGTTTTGGGCTTGATGGCAGGCTAGCAGAGATCATTTGGGGAAACCTCATCTTTCAGGGAACCGCTGAAATACGTGCTCATCGGTTTGCCCCTCCTCATTCTGCTCATCATCGCCACGTGCGTGGCCATCTACTGTTGGCGAAGAAGCGGAAGCGGCCCATAGACGCCAAGACGCCCAAGACTCCAAGTGGGTCGAATTCCGCAACGATTGAGAGAGCGAGAGAGAGAAAGAAGAGAGAGACGGGGAGCGAGAGACAGAGAGAAAGAGAGCCAGAGCGAGACAGAGAGATAGAGAGCTGGAGGGCGCGAGAGAGAGAGCGAGAGAGATGAGAGAGAGAGAGACAGAGAGATAGAGAGCGAGAGAGAGTGAGAGAGCGTGAGAGAGAGTGAGAGAAAGTGAGAGAGAGTGTGAGAGAGCGTGAGAGAGTGAGAGAAAGTGAGAGAGAGAGAGAGAGGAGAGAGAGAGGGCAAGGCCTGCCGTTTCCAGACTCGACCACCACCAACTCGAAGAGTCCCGGTGCGCCGCCCTCAAAAACCCGCTGATCGTTTCCCTCTTCGATTCCACGAATTGTCATTGCGTTACACGAATTGCACAGCTGTCTCCAGGAATAAATGGTTATTTCCATATCGATACCATTTACATACCTCGAAAAATTGAATATTCCAATTTTCGTGGGAAAAATACATTTTCACGCCGAAAAACTACCCGGCCGGTGATGGGTGGTGTGCCCAAAAATGAGGAGGACGACTCATCGTGGGTTACCTGAGATTTTAGAGGAACGGGGACTGGACTGATAGCGGGGGGGGCTGTGATTTTTATGATGAAACATTTTTTTCTAGCCTCCAAGTCCTCGTCTTCGGCGCGCACCTGGTGCTGATCGTGCTAGCCGGCGTGTTCGCGTTGGTCAACTTCTTGGCCTGTCTCTCGGCGAAAAGGTAGATTTCTCTCATCATCACTGCTAGCCTGCCCTTTCCCAAAGAATCTCTGCTAGCCTACCCCTTTCATTTCAGACGTCTCCGCCTGCAGCCCCACCCCTCGGCTCCCTCCTTCTTCGCGTTGGCCCCCTTCCGATCAACTACCGACTCGTGTACCCCATCAAGCGCCACCTCCGAGTCGGCCACCGAATAAGCGGATGAACGTCTTCAACTCGTGCTATATTAATGCGATTATAACGATCATCTACTTCTATTGTCTTTTGAATAAATGAGTTAATCTTTTTTATGAATGCGTGGTGTAAAAACATGCGAGCGATGGAAGAGAGAGAGAGAGAGAGAGAGAGAGGGAGAGAGAGAGTGCCAGGGAGAGAGAGCGTTTCTTGCGTTTAACAGCAGTTAAAACGCATAGTCAAGCATAAAAAACATGTTGCTTAAAACCATTCGTTCCCGGAAATTTCAACGACCTTAATAGGCGGTCTTTAGTTTTTCTCCAAGTATCGATTATGGGAGTTCGGGACTATGTGTTTCGCGATTTAAACGAGCATGCGTGGCGGCCGCGTATGAGTATAGAAGGTCATCTGAGTATGCTTTTTTTTTCTTTTTTTTTCAAATTTTTTCGGCACAAGCCTAAGTTTTTTTATAAATAGCGCATGCGTTGCTAAATGGTTTTTAACTATTCCTGAGCATAAAAACTACCCACATTTTAATTAAAAAAAATTAATTTTAAGTCGATAAATCCTATAGAACCTTTAGGATTAGCGGGGGGGGGGAGGGGGAAGACCCAAAATGACCAATTTTCGACTTTTTCAAACATTTTTAACTTTTTTGGAAGGTTTTTCTACGTTAAATATAGTTAAAATTTACTAAAAATAATGTGAAACACTTTATATTTGATTACTAGGTCAACCGGGAAAACCAGGAAAAATTTGGTTCCCCCCCTCGGAAATCCTAAAGAACCAAAAATTAAATTGACGAAAACATGTTTCAGAAAATCACTGGTTGCGAAAGCTGTTAGCGAGGTTAATACCTTCTCTCCCTTCCCAGTGTGGTATCAAAGTTTTTAGCGTTTATCAAAGAAAGTACCCAAAAATTTCGAATTTCCGGTTTCTCCTGCATTTTTGCCTCCAAATTGGTTTGCGGCCGTATCTGGCTATTTGCCAGGAATCATCGCTGAGGTAGAGTGGTTCAAGCTTCTTAGGGCCTTTATGGTAGCTGGTGGCCTCTTCAACACCAGTTTTTCACGATTCAATGCCCGTCCGCAATCAAAGATTTGCAGCATGCGAAAACATGTTTCGAAAAATCACTAGTTTCGGAAAATTTGTGCGAGGTTACTTTCTTCTTAAAATCCTTCTCTTTACAACCCGGGAAAATCCATCAACGAATTTTCTCAAGGCCACAAAATTCTCCATGTCTGGCATTTTCACCTCCAAATTGGGCCCTTAAGAATACGCCGGTGGTCGCTCCAAGGTCAAGATCCAATGCTCATGGTCAATGCTCAAAGTAAAATGACAATAACATGTTTCAGAAGATCACTGGTTCCGGAAGCTTTTAACGAGGTTAATACCTTCTGCCAGTTGATCCCTTGAAAAACCTCCAAAAAAAAACCTCGAAATTTCTCAAAGAATGGCTTAGAATTTTCAAATTCTGAAATTTTCCACTCCGCATGGGGAAGGAGCGCATCGGGAGGCGGTCGCGTCGCGGCCTCATCTGGCTTTGTGCCGGGAATAAACACTTAGGGCGGGTGGAGCAAGCTTCTTCGTCTCTTTAAGTGTGGCTGGTGTTTCTCGATCATCCCCAATCAACAAATTTTCAACATGCGAAAACATGTTTCAAAAAATCGCTGGTTTCGGAAAAATTGTAATAGTTTAATATCCTTTCAAAATCCCTCTCTTTACAACTCGGGAAAATCGATCAAAGTCCACAGAATTTTCCATTTCTGGCATTTTAGCTCATGGCGCTTAGCTCCCCAGATGCCGGGGGGAGGGAGGTGTCGCGGCCTCATCTGGCTATTTGCCAGGAACCAACGCCCAAGGGGCATGGATCTGGCTTCTTGGTCTATTAGGCCCGGCTGGTCACCGATTTACCATGAAGTTTTGAGAGATTTAGGGCTCAGCATGATCAAAAAATTTCGATCACACGAAAACCTGTTTCAAAAAAATTATTGGTTCCGCAAAATTCCAGTGTGATTAATGTTGCTCGGCAAAAATCCTCGACGAATTTTCTAAAACAGTCCTCAGAATTTTCCATTTCTTGCATTTTCACCTCCAAATTGGGACAGGAGCACATGCGTCGCAGCCGCATCTAGCGATTGGCCAAGAATCAGCGCGAAGCGGGGCCGAGCCGGGCTTCTTGGCCCCTTTAAAGTTAAAGTGAACGATTTTCTTACTGTATTTCGCTCTCCATTCTTTAAGGTACTCTAAAATTCCCATGAAAAGCCATTTATTCCACTCGAGACAATGAAACGGAAAATACAATACGATACGATACGATACAAAACACGGAGTTGTATTCGAAACTGGTGGGATGTATTCGTTTTTTCACGGCTTCTTCGGCTTCTTGCCGCTGCGCCTGGGGCTCGGCGAGAGGTCACGCGTCTTGTCCTTCGACGTCGGGAAATTCTGAAAATTGCAGAGAGTTTTGAGGGGAGAGAGAGAGAGAGAGCGCGCGCGCGATAGCGAGAGAGAAAGAGAGAGCCTACCATCGGGTAATCGTGCTGCTGGGTGCACTCCTTGGACGGGACGGCGCTGCTGCTGCGGGCGTTTCGAGAGTCGACAGGGCGCTTCTTCTCCTTAAATCCTTGCTGTCACTGCCCCTTTAAGCTGACCTTGCTGAGCTTGTTGCGGTTGCGGCGGGCGCTCTGGTCGGTCTGCTGGCGGCTGTCGGCCGTCCGATCCTCTCCCGCCGTGCGAGTGTTGTCGCGCTTGCGACGGTCTCCGCGTGAGCGGGAGCGCGAGCGCGTGCCGCTGTCGTCTTCCTAGAAGAATTGGGTTTAGAGGGTCTCTGCTAGCCTGCCCCTCCCCCTCTCTCTCATCCCAAATGATCTCTGCTAGCCTGCCCCCTCCCCCTCTCTCTCATCCCAAATGATCTCTGCAAGCCTGCCCTACCCTCTCGGTTTTGCTGCGCGTCGCGTCGCGCGAGCGGCGATCGCCCTTTTTCCCGCCCTCCTTCGACTGCTTCCTGCGCTTTCCGGCCTTGGGTTTTCCGCTTCCGCTTCTGCTCTTATTCTTGCGCTTCGGGCTGGGGCTCTGGGCACGGGAGGCGGGCTGGGCAACGGACTGAAAAAAAATTAGAAAATCCAGTTTTTAATCGTATTTAGACCCATTTTCGAATTTCCTCAGGGATCTCTGCTAGCCTGCCCTCCATTCCGCAAAGAACCTCTGCTAGCACGCCCCTCCATTCCCCAAAGCATCTCTGCTAGCATGCCCCTCCATTCCGCAAAGGACCTCTGCTAGCCTCCCCCAACCTACCACTTGGCTGCCCGTCGTCGTGCCGAGTGTCCAGTCCTCCGGATTCTCGTAGTCCTTCTTCAGGAAGTTCTTCTTCTTCTGGCCGACGCTGGCGGCACGCGACGCGTCCGCTCGGCTCGGCGCCTCAGCCGACTTGCTCTTCGACTTTCTACCTCCACCACCGGACTTCTTCGCCTTGCGGTTCAACGTCTGCGACTCGGAGGCGGCCACCTGAAGGTGTGAATCTATGGATTGTTTGCCTTCACTGGTCCTTTAAAGGGACGAGCAAGCATACAACTCCGGAAAGAATCCACAGCCTTGCCTTGCCAATCCCTTTAAAGTCTTCAAGCTACCCTACCCGCGAAGCGGCGAGATTGCTCGGCTTCTTGCGGCCCTTCTGGTCCTTATTGAGGCTCGGCTGAAAAAGTTCCAAATTTCCTAAGGAATATTCGCTAGCCTGCCCCTCCTTTCCTCAATGAATCTCTGCTAGCTGCCGCACCATTCCTCAAAGAATCCCTGCTAGCCTGCCCCTCCATTCCTCAATGGATCTCTGCTAGCCCCCCACCAACCACAAGCCGTTCGGTGAGCGCCTGGAGCGGGCGCTTGCGCGGCTCGCTGGCGCGGCTGTTGTTCGGATCGGACGCTCGGCTGTCCGACTGGGACCCGGATTTGGAGGCCGACGAGCGCGAGCCGTTCAGCGAGTCGGTCCGGGGGAGGGCTGCGGGCTTGTTGTGCTTCGACGGGAGTAGACGCTTCCAGCCCTGGAATGGAATAAATGGTGTTTGCTAGCCGGCCCCTCCACCTCTCTCTCATCCCAAATGATCTCTGCTAGCTCCCACCTTCGGCTTCCTGACGTCCCGACTGTTGCTGACCGACGCCGTGGAGTTGCTGCGGGACAACGACTCGCGCTCCGGGTCCACCCTTGTCTTCTCCAGCTCGTTCATCCGCTTCCGGTAGATCTTGGCCGAAACGACGAGCAGGGCGAGGAGGATGCAGATCATGATCACGTGGCCGAGCACTGACGCGAACAAGGGCAACCTGGCAGAGATCATTTGGGATGAGAGAGGGGGAGGGCAACCTGGCAGAGATCATTTGGGATGAGAGAGAGGGGGAGGGGCAGGCTAGCAGAGATCTTTTGAGAAAGTACCCACATATCTTGCGACTTCTTCTTTTTCCCCTTGGGACCCTGAGCAGGAGCAGGTGCGGGCCGGGTGAAGACGAGCTGATCGCAGTACGCCTGCTCCAAGGAGTCGCCCGCCCCGTCGATGTACTTCTGGTGGAGGGCGCGCAGGGTGTTGCTCACTGGAAGCAATGCGTTCAAGCAGTTCAACAAGTTTCCCAAATGAACCCTGCTAGCCCACCATTTGTAGTGGGCGTGTGCGGATCGGTCACGCCGGACGGCCCTTCGTTAAATTCTAGAAAAGTTATAGAAATTCTAAAAGACCAGAAAAAACCAACCACACGGACACTTCGGCTCGGCCGTCCTCTTGTACGTCTTGTAGCAGCCGGGTTGGAGCATCTACTCGGTCGCGTAGCAGCAGGACAGTACGTCTCGCCGGGCTGGGGGCAGACTGAAGATTTCCCATTCATAATCCTCTTCATATTATTCCATTCCTCATCTCTCCCCCCCTCCATTCTCAATCTCCTTAACCCCTCATTCCCCAATCTCTGCTGTCCTGCACTCCATTCCTCAATTCCCCCCTCCATTCTCATCTCTTTCTTCATATCCTCATTCCTCAATCTCTGCTCTCCCCCCCCCTCTCCTCTCTCTTCTAATCCTCTGTGCCTCCCCTCCATTCCTCAATCTCCTCTGGCCTTCCTCCTTCCTAAATAATTTCAGCTAGCCTGCCCCTCCATTCCACAAAGAATCTCTGTTAGCCTGTCCCGTCCATTCCTCAAAGAATCTCTGCTAGCCTTTTTCTCTAACATCATTCTCAAAAATTTCTGCTATCCCTCTTTCTATCTCTACCCACCATACACGACCTCTAAGTCGCCATCAGCCTTCTTGATGTGTTCGTTGAAGGCGTCTCCACCAGATTCCAGGGATGCTGCTTTACACGGTGGCTTCACGGATGGGTCGTACGGGTTGCCGTCGACGGCGCATCGGAATTTGCCCTAAAGTTGAGTCGTAGATCAATATCGTTGTAGCATCTGTACCACGGCAACAGGGTGATGGCCTGGGAAAAGGTCGACGATCAGGACGATCCAAAATAAGGGGTGTCTCATCCGACCGAGTCGTAGAGGAGAGGATTTGAAAAATACAGAAGACGATATGCTTTAGGCAAAATTGCTCGCATGTAAATTGCGGCATCGTCAAAGTGTACAGTTCTCCTTCACTTCGGCGATCATCAACGATGTCAAGGAGAAGAACTACGTTTTGAAAGGAATTTTGGCCGGAACTGAAACTTCAGCTCATGTCCTGACAGGTAGAGAGGTATGTGGAGCGTACGCGCGCATGCAGATAATCGTGCAGCGGCAGGAGGAGTGGCGGGGGCACGACTAGCGATGCGATTTACGGCATCAAACGCAGGAGAACTGCGTAGGAGGGCGTAGTATCGGGTGCACTTGTTGGGGAGGATTACGGGTCTAAACCGGGCGTGGATATCACACAGGAAGGACACTACAGTAGTACAGTACCTAGGATATCCCAACAGTACGGCCTACGGTACCAAACCGTTTGAAGAATGCGGTTGCGAAGCTGTCACAAGGCTGGTACGGTGTGCGTGCTACGATGCGGATTCTGAAAGGACAAAAGATTCGGGTCGTCACGACGTTGAGATCAGCAGTATACGCCTCGCGCACACTGTACGGCGGACGCTCGGGGGACGGACGTAAGTTACGGGAGTGTACGAGGCGAGGGTGTACGGTGCGAGCTAGCGTGGTGTTTGGGTTTTCACGTGGTCTCCGTATACGATCCAGTAACGTACCGGGGTGACTCGTCGTACCAGCGCGCACAGTACGAGAGTTTGCGGGCACGGTTGCGTACGGTACAAGCGTAGGATGATACGCATACGGACGTACAAGATCGCGAATTCCTACAGGATAAAGTAGGGCACAGGAAAATAGAGGATACTGACTGTGAGTGTGACTCCCCGCGATTTTGCCCGGTATATTTATTGCCAAAAACGCAAATACAAACAAAACACACGTGGAATGGAATTGGCGGAAGAATTGGCCACGACCATCCAATCACAATAGAACAGATATGGAATGCAATTTTTTAGAGGTTTTTGCCGGGGTTTTTTGAGGTGTGGGGCGTAGTGGTCGAGGGAGAAAAACGGGGCACAGATGGGCGACGCGACGGGCGAGCCTGAAAAAATATAGAAAAAGTGCGAAGCGAGCAGAGAGAGAGAGAGAGAGAGAGAGAGAGGAGAGTGAGAGAGACAAAGAAAGAGCGAGAGAAAAATAAACATCAGAATAAATAAGAACCGACCCCAGAAAACCCCAAAAGACGGATGCTGGTGAACGGCTCGAAGAAGTGGCCGGCTTCTACAGCTCGGGGTGGCGTTGCGCATTTTGGGTTTTACGCTGAAAAAATGGGTATGTAAAGAGGTATTTAGGGGCACTAGGCTATTAGCGGGGGAGGGACTTGTGCTTCGGCACTGACCTTCTTGATGGCCAGGTAGTCGGTGACGTGGTACTCGGTGATTTCCTGTGGCTTGGACTTCTTCGTCGCGTCGGGCTTGCATAGCAGCTCGAACGGCTTGGTCATGTCGCGCTCCAGGCCCGGGTAGCAGGCGATCGTGTCGCCGTTTTGGCAGGGCACCGAGTGGAGCGGGCAGACTAGAAAATGGGAGTGTGTGCCAGAGAGAGAGAGAGAGAGAGAGAGAGAGAGAGAGAGAGAGAGAGTGGGGAGGAGAGATGGGGGGGGGGGGGGGGGGGGGGGGCGCGACCCACCATAAAACACTTTGTACTTGTCGAGGTCGTGCTTCACATATTCGTAGTACAAGGTGCGCTCGGCGCGTTGATGCGGGGTCGAGTCCACTTCGCAATGTGGCCACTCGGGCCCGAATCCCTTGCCCGTCGCCAAGCAGTACAGCGTCCGTTTGGACTGCAGGGTGTCGTCGGGTCGAATGGCGAGCTTCTGGCTCTGGCCGAGGTCCTTGTAGAGCAACATCATCTCCTGGCTGGCCGCTGCAAAAGGGTGGTGAAGAGGATTGCTCCACCGCGATTACCGCGAAGCGGTTTTTCAACCCTGGTTAAGCTGAAAATTGCACTTGCCGGTTTCCAACGTGAGCCCCAAGCTTGCGTTCGACATCTTGCAGACGGGCGGTGAGCCGGTGACGGCCAGGCCGGTAGAGTTGTAGCAACCGGGCAGTCCATTCGGCTCGGTCTCCGCACAGAACGTCTGGGTCGCGTTGCAGCCTACAGAAAAGATTTTGAAAACATCACCCTATCTATCTCTCTCACTCTCACTCTCTCTATCGCTCGCTCTCACTCTCCCTCTCTCGCTCTCGCTCTCTCATCTCTCACACCTCTCCATTTCTCCCCCCCCTCTCGCTCCCCCCCCCCCTCCCCCCTCTCCCTCTCTCTCACTCTCACTCTCCCCCTCTCGCTCTCTCTCACCCTTTCTCTCTCTCTCTCTCTCTCTCTCTCTCTATCTCTCTCTCCCTCTCTCACCATAGTAGACGTGATGCCACAAGTTCGGCTCGTTTTTGATGACCTCCTCGGCGGCGATGGCAGCACCTTCCGGCGGTTTGTCGGCCAGATATTGGCAGCCCGAGTCCACGTCGTACGGTACACCACCCACGCTGCACCAGGCTTTCCACTATAACAAAATTAATGTTTTAGATACCACTTCCCCCCCGCGCTAAGAGTCCAGTACCTTGGAGAACAAGTAGGGCGAACGTTGGACGGTAAAGCTGCGGCCACATTCAGCTCGGCCCGTTGGTCCGCTGCGCCTTGTTGTAGTAGTCCATGGCGGCGAGGAGCTCGGGGCTGGCTGGAAAAGGGGCGGCGGCGTCATCAAGCAGTACCAGCAACGTACCGGATTCTTTGAGCGTCGTATTCTTGTTAGCCGAGTCTGAAAATAGGGTTGATTTTGGGGTGGTAGATGAACTTACCGCAAGCACACTGCGACGGGCTGGAGACGTCGCTGTAGCAGCCCGGGCCCAGCCACCAGTCAGCAGACAGTCCACCGAACAAGCAGAACACCTCGTTCGGTCCGCGGCAGGCTGAAAATGAGCTCGAGCTTTAGGAGATTGAGCAAAGCCTAAGCCAAACCTAAGCCAAGCCTAAGCCAAGCCTATGCCAAGCCTAAGCCAAGCCTAAGCCAAGCCTAAGCCAAGCCTAAGCCAAGCCCTTAGCCGCTAAGCCTAGCCTAAGCCAAGCCGCGCGAGCAAGCTAAGCGAAACCAAGCCTAAGCCGCCTGCTAAGCCCTAAGCCAAGCCTAAGCCAAGCTAAGCCAGCTTACCATAAACGACGTTGTAGGAGAATGCCTTGGCTGTGGCGGGGATTTGTTCGATGAAAGCGATCCGGTCGTCGCTGATCTCGCCGTCGGCGGGCTTGTTGAACGACGTGCAGCCGTCCTTCTGTTTCGTTGACCACAGTCGCGTCGGGGTGCAGTAGTGGACGAGGTTCTGGAAAGGGTATACCTATCGTTAAGTTACAAAAATAGTATAGAAAACCAGCATTTCAAAAAAATTTGCGCCAAAGGGTCTTTTAGGGCGCGCGGCAGTTACATGTCGTAATGCGCTCCTTGGCTTCCAACTCCTCGATCTCGGCGACTTCTGGACCACGTTTGAAAATTAGAAGGGCCAGAACCATCAAAATTTGCCAAGGATTTCGAATCTGGCGTCAAAATTTGGAATTTCACGTGCTTTGACGTCCACACGACGTGATGTTGCGAATGTTCAGACACCGACCGACCCCTACTCCTCTATCTCGACTTCCGATCGTGTCACAGCGGTGTCAAGTATACCAAAATGTGCGTCTTGGCCTGGGGAGTATTTTGGTGTGCTTCGCATCAAAATAGACCTTTAACGTGCGCGGCTATTACATGGCGTAATGGCGCCAACTGCCACACATGTATCTTAGCTTCCTGTCGTGCTACAAAGCTGTAAAGTATACCAAAATATGCGTCTTGCCCTGGGGAATATTTTGGTATACTTTATAGCCCAGTAGCACATCATCGAGCTGAGCTACAACAGTCGGAAGCCCGGGAAGTTCCACGCGTCGCGTCTCGCGGTCGTACAATAGGCGAACTTCCTGTCGTGCTACAAAGCCTAAAATATGCCAAAATATGCGCACGGGTCTGGGGAGTATTTTCGTATACTTGACGGCCCTGTAGCACATCATCGAGCCGAGCTACAACAGTTGGAAGCACCAGGAAGTTCCACGCGTCGCGCGCCGCGGCCGAACCATAAGCCCAATTTTCCGTCATGCTACAGGTGCGTAAAATATACCAAAAGGTGCGTCTTGCCCCGGGGAGTATTTTGGTATACTTTATAGCCCAGTAGCACATCATCGAGCTGGGCTACAACAGTCGGAAGCCCGGGAAGTTCCACGCGTCGCGTCTCGCGGTCGTACAATAGGCGAACTTCCTGTCGTGCTACAAAGCTCTAAAATATGCCAAAATATGCGCACGGGTCTGGGGGTATTTTCGTATACTTGACGGCCCTGTAGCACATCATCGAGCCGAGCTACAACAGTTGGAAGCCCCAGGAAGTTCCACGCGTCGCGCGCCGCGGCCGAACCATAAGCCCAATTTTCCGTCATGTTACAGGTGCGTAAAATATACCAAAATGTGCGTCTTGTCCCGGGGAGTATTTTGGTATACTTTACGGTCCAGTAGCACACCATCGAGCCGAGCTACAACAGTTGGAAGCCCCGGGAAGTTCCACGCGTCGCGTGTCGCGGCCATGGCCCATAGGCCCTCAAATCACCGGTCATACCCTGTAGTATGGCACGGCGGGGATGTAGTCACGCACGCCGCCGCACAGCGCGAGGGTGTAGTTGACCGGGCAAGGGTACTTCAGCTGGTCGCTGTACCGCTTAGGAGCTCCCACATGTAGAGGCCGGCTGTAGGAAAGAGGGTAATTTCAGGGGGACATTTCTCGTGATACCCGTCGGCTTGTCGAGTCGCTTCGGCGAGTCCGACAGCTTCGCTAAAGACAGATTGAACAGTCAAGTGCCCAAAGGGAGAAGTTTACATACAAAATCCCCCGTTAACAGACAAGCCCCAATATACCGCCTGTCCTACCGCATTTAAATTCTGGTGCCGGTGCCGTGCCGGTTCTCTTCACTTCCGACGTCGAGTAGCAGCCCGGGGGTCGATTCCTTCGATTTGATCCTCAGAGCAGTAGATCTGCGAATCCGGGCAGGCTAAAAGAGGATAGGTAGAGAGGGAGAGAGAGAGAGAGGAGAGAGAGAGAGAGAGAGAAGATAGAGACATAGAGAGAGAGAAAGAGAGAGAAGAGGGTAAGAGAGAGACGAGATATAGAGACCGACAGAGAGAGAGGGTAGAGAGAGACAGAGAGAGAAGAGAGAGAGGGTAAGAGAGTGATATAGAGACCGACAGAGAGAGAGAGAGAGAGAAAGAGAGAGAGGGGTAAGAGGGCGAGCGAGAGAGAGAGAGCGTGAGAGAAAGAGTGATAGAGAGAGATAGAGAGAGACAGATATAGAGAAAAGAAAGGGATAGAGAGACAGAGAGAGAGAGGAGAGAGAGAGAGAGAGAGAGATGAGAGAGACCTACCATAGAAGATGGTAAGCTTGTGGTTGGCGCCGGGCGGTTAGATCTGCTCAGTCAGCACCAAAGCCTTGTCGCCGAGCCCGGTTGCCTCATCGTGAAGGGGCGATCTTGTTGCCAAGGGCGTATGGCGCGAACGGACCCGCGTTCATCTGGTAGACGTACGACAACTGGAAGCAGGACAGTAGGGGTATTGAAACCTTTAATCTAACCTCAAGCACCTCATCGGCGCTGCGCTTCACGAAGAGCCTGGCGCCGCAGGCGGCTCGTCTTGCTTCACCGTCTGGAATTGAGCAGTCGTTGCGCGAATTTCGGTACTGAGTTGTTAGCGGGGGAAGCAGAAGTTGATCTTAACAACTTTAAAAGCATCCACCTTTGTAAGAGCCTTGAAACGCTCCAGCGCAGCATCGCGCATCGTGGCGCTGATCATCGACACCAAAGTGCCGCTATTGCCTAGAATTAAGGGATGAGTATACGAGGGACTTTATGAGCTTACAAGCTAAGCCTAAGCCAAGCCTAAGCCAAGCCTAAGCCAAGCCTAAGCCAAGCCTAAGCCAAGCCTAGCCAAGCCTAAGCCAAGCCTAAGCCAAGCCTTAAGCCTAAGCCAAGCCTAAGCCAAGCCTAAGCCAAGCCTAAGCCAAGCCTAAGCCAAGTAAACCAAGCCTAAGCCAAGCCTAAGCCAAACCTAAGCCAAGCCTAAGCCAAGCCTAAGCCAAGCCTAAGCCAAACCTAAGCCAAGCCTAAGCCAAGCCTAAGCCAAGCCTAAGCCAAGCCTAAGCCAAGCCTAAGCCAAGCCTAAGCCAAGCCTAAGCCAAGCCTAAGCCAAGCTCAGCCAAGCCTAACCCAAGTCTAAGCCACGTCTAAGCAAAGCCTAAGCCAAGCCTAAGCCCGAGCCTTACCGCAGCGACAGTTGTTGAGTTCGTCCTCTTTCCGTTTCTGCGGATCGCGGTCATGGTGGCCGACGCGCATTGTGTTTTTGTAGCAGCCCGCGCTCTTGCCATCGTCAGCGAGGCAGAACACCTGGTCGGTGCCCGGGCAGGCTGAAATTGGGGTGATTGTAATGGCTACAACAACCCCCATCTACCGTATCTGACGTGCTCGCGGTGGCCGTTGTTGTGCTCGACAATCTCGTTGTAGAAGATGCGTGGGCTGTCCGGCTCGATGGCGGGCCTGTTGTGCCGGCCGCAGCCGTAGCCGCCCGGCAGCCACGGGTCAGCCAGAGCGGTGCAATCGACGGGTAGCTGAAGTGGAAGGTTAACACTCAGATCCCCCCCAGCCACCCCCAACTACCGTATCTCGGCTCCCTGTTCATCTACAGGTGTGTAAAGTATACCAATATGTTCGTCTTGCTCTGGCGAGTATTTTGGTATACTTTACACACCTGTAGATCAACAGGGAGCAGAGATACGGTAGGTGGAAGTCGGCTAGGGGAGTACACTGCACTTAAGCCCGCAGCCATACCGAGAATCGGGTCGGCTGCTCGAGGAAAGGTGGCGCCGGCAAGGCAGTCCTTGACGGTGGGGGCACATCCGCAGGTCCTGGAAAAGGAATTGTTGAGGTAGTAGTAGATACCCTCGGGGACTTGACGATCTCGACGAGGACGTGGTGGAAGTTCTTGACGAGGTCGGCACGTACGGTCGGGTAGCGGCGGCAGGTGCAGTGCTGAAAGAACGGAAGTTCCGACGAAGCTTAGGCTGGCTAGGCTTGGCTTAGGCTTGGCTTAAGCTTGGCTTAGGCTTGGCTTAGGCTTGGCTTAGGCGTGGCTTAGGCTTGGCTTAGGCTTGGCTTAGGCTTGGCTTAGGCTTGGCTTAGGCTTGGCTAGGCTTGGCTTAGGCTTGGCCCAGGCTTGCGCTTGGCTGGCTTAGGCCTGGCTTAGGCATAAGGCTTGGCTAGGCTTGGCTTAGGCTTGGCTTGGCAGGCTTGGCTAGGCTAAGCGGGCTAAGCCTATACCTGCTCGTCAGGTCTGCTTCCACTCGATGGTCTGGTAGTGGTAGCAGCCGGCGTACCACAGGTTGACTTCCCCATCTAGCTGAAGCAGGCAACGGACCGCGGGGGACAGCACTGGAAAAAGAGGTGTATCTCGGGGGTCCGTGTGAACTGCTCGTTTTTCGCTTGAACTGCTAGAACTCGTCGGAGGCCACTCACCAACCAATACCGGTTCATCCGCTGAGGCTTGCTTGGTGAAGATGACGCGGCGGAGGTAATTGGGTTCATCGGGCACGGGTGGGCAGTTGTCCATCTTTGTTCTTGCTCCATCTGTTGCAGCGAGCAGAACTTGTACTCCACTGAAAATGGATGATTAACAGAGAGAGGGAGAGAGAGCGAGAGAGAGAGGAGAGAGCGAGAGAGGAGGACAGAGAGTGAGAGAGTGAGGGAAAGTGAGCGAGAGCCAGGGAGAGAGAGCGGGAGAGAGAGAAAGAGGAGAGAGGGAGAGAGAGACAGAGAGAGACAGAGAGAAGGAGACGGAGGAGAGGAGAGAGAGAGCCAGGGAGAGCGGGAGAGAGAAAGGGGAGGAGAAAGGGAGAGAGAGAGAGAGAGAGAGAGAGAGAGAGAGAGAGGAGAGAGGAGAGCGAGACCCACATGGCTTGACAACGTCTTGACCGGCAGTGGCTCAAGGAGAAGCACAGCGAGGAGAAGGGAGAGCAGGTGATGGGGCAGCCCATGAAGCCGAACGCCATCAGCACCGAGGTACAGAAATGCCCATTTTCGAAGCAATTTTCGGAGGCTGAGCAGCAACCGGAAGTTAATTTCAATTCAGATGCTAATGACCGCTTCCAAATTCTGAGCTGTAGATGATTTCCTTGAAACTCCACTCGCTGCCCCCCCACCCCGACATCTTCAACAAGTAAAGCCTGTCCTCCCTCGCTGACTTCGAAAGCACCTGCCCTTCTTCGTGTCGTCGGAACTTGCTGGAAATGGTGGCAATCAATTCACTGTATTAACAATTTGCTGTTACAGTCCCCATCTGGAGACATCTCTCTGTCGCTCTCTCCATCTCTCACTCTCACTGTCACTACCTCCCTCGCTCTCTCCCCATCTTTCTCTCTCTCTCTCTCTCTCTCTCTCTCTCTCTCTCTACTCCCTCTCTCTCTCTCCACCTCTCCTACTCTCCCTCTCCTCTCTCTCTCTCATTATACTCTCTCTCTAACCTCTTTCTCTCTCTTTGTCTCTCTTTTTTCTCTGTCTTTCTCTATCTCCTCTCTCTTCTCTCTCTCTCTCCTCTTTTTCTCTCTCTCTCTCTCTACCTCTCTCTCTCGTCGAAAAATCTTTATTCTTTTATGCCACAGAAAAATAGAAAATATACGGAAAAACACACGCAGTGGCGTCGGGATGAGAAATGTTACTTGGACTAGCAGAAACTGAAGAGAGACATGCAAAAATACAATAGCAAAGAAAACGGAGCCAGAGGGAAGCGGTGGGCTAGCAAGGATTCTTGAGGAGTCGACCCCGATCAGTACTTCCGGCGAGCGACCTCAATGACAGTGATCTGCGCTTGCGGCAGCATCTCACGCCTGTACAGCCAGTAGACGAGGGGCCGTCTGGAATGGATGGCTTAGGCTTGCTTAGGCATTTAATAGGCTTGCATTTGGCGGCATTGAGGCATGGCTTAGGCATGGCTTAGAGCTTGGCTTAAGCAACAGGCTCACTTAGGCTTGGTTTAGGCTCGGCTTAGGGCTTGGCTTAGGCTTGGCTTAGGCTTGGCTAGGCCTGGCTTAGGCTTGGCTAGGCTTGGCTTAGGCTTGGCATAGGCGTCAGCTTAGGGGTTGGCTCAGGCCTGGCTTAGGCTTGGCATAGGCTTGGCTTGGGGCTTGGCTTAGGCTTGGCTTAGGCTTGGCTTAGACGTTGCAGGCCACCTGGCTTAAGGCTTGGCATTAGGCTTGGCTTAGGGTTGGCTTAGGCTTAGCATAGGCTTGGCTGAGGGCTGACTTAGGCTGGCATAGGCTTGGCTTAGGGTTAGCTGAAGCTTGGCTTGGGGGTTGGCATGACTGGCATAGGCTTGGCTTAGGGTTGGGTCAGGCATTTAGGCTTTAGGCATAGTACTAGCTAGCTTGGCTTAGGCTTAGGCGGCAGGGCAGCTAGGCTTGGCCAGGGGCTTGGCTTGGGCTTGGGCATAGGCTTGGCTTAGGCTTGGCTTGGATGCGGCTTAAGCTTGGCTTAGGCGGCTGTGGGCTTGTGCTTTCTGGCTGGCGGCTTCGCACCAGGCTTGGCCAGGCTTGGCCAGGCGAAAAACTGGCTTGGAGCGTGCTCAGGCTTGGCATAGGCTTTTGCTTAGGGCTCGGCATAGGCTTGGCTTAGGCTTGGCTTGGAGGCTTGGCTTAGGGCTTGCACAGGCCTGGCCTAGGCTTGGCTTAGGCTTGGCTAGGCTGGCTTGCAGGCTTGGCATAGGCTTCGGCTTAGGCTTGGCTTAGGCTTTACGAAGTTTCAGCAGGCTTAGGCTATAGGCTTGGCTTAGGGGCTGGCACAGGTCACATTAGGTTGCTCAGGCTCTGGCTTAGGCTCTGGCTTAAAGGTTAGCCTCGGGCTTGGCTTAGGCTTAAGCTTAGGCTTGGCTTAGGCTCGGCGTAGGCTTGAAGCGTAGCCCGGCTTAGGCCTGGGCTTCAGCACCTGGCACAATGGCGACGCAGATGGGCAGCAGGATGCCGTGGAAGAAGAGGACCAGAGTAAGGAGGCGTCTGAAAAAGGTCATGAAACTACAGGTATTCCAACAACTTCGAACCGTCCAATAGCCAGAGTAGGCTCATTTTTGACCCTTTTTTACGAATCTTTCAAAATTGAGCTTGATTATCTCGGGGGGGAGTCATAAAGCTTAGACGGAGCATACTACCCACTTGTTAATCGCCTGTTGAGCAGGCTCAGCCCTGCGGGGCGGCGGAAGCCGTCTGCGCTCGTCGGTCCCGCTCGACCTGGCGGCGTCGGTGCTCTCGGGTAGGGTGACGCCCGCTTAGCGCTTGTAGAGGGCGCTGCAGATGGCGCCGCAGAATCCTAAAATGAGGGGCGGCTAGCACGGGTCGTTGGGGAAATCCTAAGAAGAGCTCTGCTAGCCTCCTCGTCCATCTCAAAGAATCTCTGCTGGCTCGCCTCTTGGTACTTTTCCAGCCATTGAGCAGCGCCTGTTGAAGGGAGGCACCGCCGGCTCCTAGGTCAGTCGTCACGGTCCACTGGAAAAGTGGAATCTCTTCTGCTGCTCTCTTCTCTCTCTCTCTCGCTCTCTCTCTCTCTCTCTCTCTCTCTCTCTCTCGCTCTCTCTACTTATAAACACAGCTGCACGTCGCCGGGTGCCGCGTTTCACCTTGGTATTCCGCGTAGCAGCCGGGGTCGTAATACGTCGAGACGGGCCGGTCAGCGTCTGGCAACAGACCAGGGTCCGGCTGCCGCAACCTAGAAACCAGCGATTTTGGGGGGCCGGCAAGCGCATCAGAATGGATTTTAGCGGGCAGGTGGGAAGAGGCGCGGCGTCAATTAGCCGGCTGCGCTGCGTCTTGTAAGTCGCGTGCATCAGTATTTGTCGCGTGGCGTGTCGCGTTGCGTACCGCGTTGCGCTGCGCGGTAAATCCGTACTGTGTACCGCGTTGCATGCACGCACCCTGCAATTCGCGTTGCGTCACGTTGCGTCGCCGGTTGCGCGTAGCTTTGCGGTGTGGGTCCTATAGTAGTATCTCGTCACGTCGCGTATCGCATGTATGCTTTGGCGCGTTGCGTTGTGTTGCGTCGCGTCGCATCCAGCCTGCTGGTGCGGTGCCTGCCGCATTGTGTACCGGCTGTCGCGCGCCTTGCGTAGCGCGTCACGGGGTCGCTGTGTCGCTTCGCATTCGCCTATCGCGCTATTACGATACGTGTCGTGTTACGCGTCGCGTTGCGTCTTTGGGCGTCTCTATGGTGCGTCGCGTGTCGCGGTGCGTCTAGTTTTGCGTTGCGTGCCCGGGTGCCCCTGCCAGCCTGCACCTACCGTAGCGAATCTGCAGACTCCCGGCACGATACGGGATCTCCTCAATCAGCGCGTGGACTTCCTATGCCGGTCTCCTGAATTCAGAAACTTGGGCAAAAAATCAACCCGCTTACTATGATTCTCTCCCGTAAACGCGCAGCTCCCGGCGCGCCCCATCCGCCACGGATTGTGGCTGATCAGGCACAGGTGTTCCAACTGAAAAGTTCTGCTACCACCCCCTCATTCCTCAAAGAATCTCTGCTAGCCTGCCCCTCCATTCCTCAAAGAATCTCTGCTAGCCTGCCCCTCCATTCCTCAAAGAATCTCTGCTAGCCTGCCCCGTCCATTCCTCAAAGAATCTCTGCTAGCCTGCCCCTCCATTCCTCAAAGAATCTCTGCTAGCCTGCCCCCCATTCCTCAAAGAATCTCAGCTAGCCTGCCCCGTCCATTCCTCAAAGAATCTCTGCTAGCCTGCCCTCCATTCCTCAAAGAATCTCTGCTAGCCTGCCCCTCCATTCCTCAAAGAATCTCTGCTAGCCTGCCCTTCCATTCCTCAAAGAATCTCTGCTAGCCTGCCCTCCATTCCTCAAAGAATCTCTGCTAGCCTGCCCTCCATTCCTCAAAGAATCTCTGCTAGCCGCCCCCTATTAATTCCGAAACCGGCCTTACAATTATTTGGTGAAAGTGCAGATTGTCGGGTCTGATCCCAGACGGCCGTCAAGCCACAGTGGCCAGGCTTCGGCCTCTTGAGATTCCTGGTTGATGATTTTGTCCTGCAGCAGCTCGATGTAGGCGCTGTCTGAAGAAGAAAGTGGGAGAGAGACAGAGAGAGAGACGAAGGAGAGAGAGAAAAGAGAGAGAGAGAGAGAGATGCCGACGTACCATAGTTCGGCACGTAGCCGTCGTCCGAGGCCGAGCCATCGGATGGAACTAAAATCATGATTTTGAGTTATTTGGATCAGCCCCAATTTAAGATAGTCAATCAGTATCTAATGCAAGGTATCCAAATAAAGCTTAAGGTATCTCACCGCAAGTGCACTGCTTCTCGTCCTCGTACTTGACGCCGGTGTAGCAGCCAGGCTGACGCTTGTGGCCGTGTCCCCAGTTGGCGCAGTAGTACTCATTTGGCTTTTTCGCACGCTGAAAGGGGGGTGGGGGCAGGCTAGCAGAGATCATTTGGGATGAGAGAGAGGGGTGAGGGTAGGCTAGCAGAGATCATCTGGGATGAGAGAGAGGGGGGGGGGGCAGGCTGGCAGAGATCATTTGGGATGAGAGAGGGGGGAGGGGCAGGCTAGCAGAGATCATTTGTCTCCCACCCACCGTAGATGACGTCATGCCTTCTTCCGTTCCAGTATTATCTGCTCGCGCACGGCGACTCGAGGGCTCAGCCCGGGTCCGGTTAGCGGCTCCGGAATTTTCTCCCCGCATCCGAACTGCTCGTCGTAGAGGAAGCTCGACGCCGAGCAGTAGACGAAACGCTGGAAAATGGATCCCAAATGTTCTCTGCTAGCATGCCTGGGTGGCTAGCAAAGGCAATTTGCGGAAGGACCTACCGGCGGATCCGGATACCACAAAGACCGCTCGGTCTCGCCACCACAGATCCCCGTGTCTCCTCGCCGCGGTCAGAGGCGCTCCCTTGCTGTACCACTTGAGGGGCCTCGACGATGTAGGGACTGGCTGAAAACGAGGGCAGGCTAGCAGTGATTCTTTGAGGAAATGGACGGGGCAGGCTAGCAGAGATTCTTTGAGGAATGGAGGGCAGGCTAGCAGAGATTCTTTGAGGAATGGAGGGCAGGCTAGCAGAGATTCTTTGAGGGAATGGAGGGGCAGGCTAGCAGAGGGTCTTTGAGGAATCGAGGGGCAGGCTAGCAGAGATTCTTTGAGGAATGGAGGGGCAGGCTAGCAGAGATTCTTTGAGGAATCAAGGCGCAGGCTAGCAGAGATTCTTTGAGGAATGGACGGGGCAGGCTAGCAGGAGATTCTTTGAGGAATGGAGGGCAGGCGAGCGAGATTCTTTGAGGAATGGAGGGCAGGCTAGCAGAGATTCTTTGAGGAATCATAGGCGCAGGCTAGCAGGGAATTCTTTGAGGAATGGAGGGGGCAGGCTAGCAGAGATTCTTTGAGGAATGGAGGGGCAGGCTAGCAGAGATTCTTTGAGGAATGGAGGGGCAGGCTAGCAGAGATTCTTTGAGGAATGGAGGGGGCAGGCTAGCAGAGATTCTTTGAGAATCGAGGGCAGGCTAGCAGAGATTCTTTGAGGAATGAGGGCAGGCTAGCAGAGACTTTGAGAATCAAGGGCGCAGGCTAGAGAGACTTTGAGGAATGGACGGGGCAGGCTAGCAGAGATTCTTTGAGAATGGCGCCTACCGTATCCCACTAGATTGGCGGCAGAAGTGCCTTCTGCATTCGCATCCGATGTCGGAGGTTCGCTGGACGCCCCGGAAGCACGCGTAGAAGTCGTCGAACGCGCAGAAGACGTTGCCGTCCGGACAGGCTAAAAACTCGTTTTAAAGGGTCAGTGACAGCTAGGAAAACCGGTACTGGACTGTTAACGCGGGTGGGGAAAGGGGGCGGGTTTTGTTTCTTCAAACTATTGGAATTTTTAATAGTGTTTTTCGCAGTTTTGGTTTCTAGAAGGCTGTAAAAAATATTTTTAATGCTGAAAATTCGAAATGTTGAGCTTTTTTGGTCATTTTTCATACATTTTTCGTCAAAATCCAAAAATCATATTATTTTTGTTATTTTCATCTCTAAAAACTATGTAAAATGCTATACAAATGGTTTTGTATTTTGTTATAGAACCGTTGAGAATTACAGGGATAATTTTTGCCCCCGCTAACAGTCCAGAGCCGCAACAACGTTTTAAAGACGCTGTGACAGCTAGAAAAACCGTTTTTAAGGGACAGTGACACCCCAAAAATGCTCTCCAAAGCGCTACCGTAGTTGATACGCTCCCATTTGCCATCATCGGGGCGTAGGTACAGCTCGGTGAAGGCGACCTGGGCGGGGTGGGGTGTCTTGTTCTCCATGCCCGTGCATGTGCCCGAGTACGCGTCGTACAGGTCGCTGAAGCCGAGGACCGGGCAGACGCGGTTCGCCTGAAAACGAGCGATCGAGCGGCGCAGGCTGGCAGAGACCATTGGGGAATATGCCCCGGGGCCAATGAGCGGATCATTGAGGAACGCGCTTTCGAGAGGCCGGGAGGCTAGCAGAATTCCTGGAGGATGATGCTCCTGGCTAGCCAGCAGGATTCTTGGGGCGAAAACTGTAAGGCATGCTAGCAGGGACGATTGGGGAATTTGCGCCCCTGGCCAGCGAGCAAAGATCATTGAAGAAAATGTCAGCGGGCAGGCCAGCAGAATTCCTTTAGGAAAATGCTGCCGGGCGAACGAGCAGAGGCGACTGGGGAATAAGTGCCTGTGGCAGGCTAGCAGAGACCATTGGGGAAAATGGAACAGGGACCAACGAGCAGAGACCATTGAGGAAAATGCCTCGGACGAGCTAGCATAGATTCCTGGATCGAAAAGTGCCGGGCACTCTGGCAGAGACCATTGGGGGAATAGCGCCGAGGCCAACGAGCAGAGATCCTTGCGGAAAAGGCCCCTGGGAAGCTAACGGATGCGAAGGCAAACATGGCGTTCTTTGCCCCCCCCCCGCTAATGCAAATGCACCGGCGCAAGTTAACTAGTCTCTGCGGGAGGGCCTCTTCAGCATTTGACAGTGCATGGCAAGGTAGCGATTCTTTAGGAAAACTGTGCTCGGAGAGAACGGGCAGCGACTTTTTTTCGCTATCTCTCTCTCTCTCGCATCTTCTCTCTCTCTCCCCTCACTCTCAGCTCAAGCCCGCTCTCCTCGCTCTCTCTCTCTCTCTCTCTCTTTCTCTCTCTCTTTCTCTCTCTCTCGCTCTCTCTCTCTCCCTCCTCTCTCTCTCTCACTCTCTCGCTCTCTCCTCTATCTCTCGTCTCTCTCGTCTCTCTCTCACCCTCTCACACTTTCTCTTTTCTCTATCTCTCCCTCTCCCTCTCTCTCTCTCTCTCTCTCATTCTATCTCCCTCTCCCACCGCTTCCGGCAGCATGGTCCTGACGGTCCTCCTTGGGCCCTCATTCCATTCCTTCGCACAGTCATCCATGGTCGGGTTGAAAGCCTGCAGCCAGGAGAGGATTGTCGGATGGAGGGGATCGGCTAGCAAAGGCGTTTCGCCTTCTTTTCGTGCTAAGAGCGTAGTGGTGTAAGTAGTACGGTATCGTACTTACCGCAAGCGCCGCAATCTTGACGCGTCACACCCTTGTAACATCCAGGCTCGACTCCCAAGCCTTCGATCGACGGGCAGAAGATGGTACCCTCGGCACAGCCTGTAAAGAGGTGGTGGGCGGGCTAGCAGAGATTCTTTGAGGAATGGAGGGCAGACTAGCAGAGATTCTTTGAGGAATGTAAGGGAGCTAGCAGAGATTCTTTTTGAGGGAAGCCACAGCCTACCGTATGTGATCCGAACGCTCCTCTTTACACCGAGTTGCAGCCCCTCGCGGTAAACGAGCCGCTGTTTGTCGATGCCGCTTTCGGGGATCTTCGATATCGGTACATCGGCTGCGTGGCAGATACGGAGGGTTCGGGGGGAACAGAGGTAGTACGGCTGGGAAAATGGGCTCTTAAAGCTCCTCCTCTCTCTCTTTCTCTCTCTTTCTCTCTCTCTCGTCAATACATCCAATTCTGATACCGGGTAGGGTGCAAATCTGTCGGGATTGCGATCGTAGCTGAGGTCGCTGTGGCAGGCCGCCCTGTCCTGAAAGGAATAGGATCTCAAATCCCAAATGATCTCTGCTAGCCTGCCCCTCCCCTCTCTCTCGCTCATCCCAAATGATCTCTGCTAGCCTGCCCCCTTCCCCTCTCTCTCTCATCCCAAATGATCTCTGCTAGCCTGCCCCCTCCCCTCTCTCTCATCCCAAATGATCTCTGCTAGCCTGCCCCCTCCCCTCTCTCTCATCCCAAATGATCTCTGCTAGCCTGCCCCTCCCCTCTCTCTCATCCCAAATGATCTCTGCTAGCCTGCCCCCCCCCCTCTCTCTCTCATCCCAAATGATCTCTGCTAGCCTGCCCCCTTCCCCTCTCTCTCTCATCCCAAATGATCTGTGCTAGCCTGCCCCTCCCCCTCTCTCTCATCCCAAATGATCTCTGCTAGCCTGCCCCTCCCCCCTCTCTCTCTCATCCCAAATGATCTCTGCTAGCCTGCTTCTCTCCCCTCTCTCTCTCATCCCCAAATGATCTCTGCTAGCCTGCCCTCTTCCCTCTCTCTCTCTCATCCCAAATGATCTCTGCTAGCCTGCCCCCTTCCCCTCTCTCTCTCATCCCAAATGATCTGTGCTAGCCTGCCCCCTCCCCCTCTCTCTCATCCCAAATGATCTCTGCTAGCCTGCCCCCTCCCCCTCTCTCTCATCCCAAATGATCTCTGCTAGCCTGCCCCTTCCCCTCTCTCTCCTCATCCCAAATGATCTCTGCTAGCCTGCCCCCTCCCCTCTCTCTCATCCCAAATGATCTCTGCTAGCCTGCCCCTCCCTCTCTCTCTCATCCCAAATGATTTCTGCTAGCCTGCCCTCCCCTCTCTCTCATCCCAAATGATCTCTGCTAGCCTGCCTCTCCCCTCTCTCTCATCCCAAATGATCTCTGCTAGCCTGCCCCCTCCCCTCTCTCTCATCAAATGATTTCTGCTAGCCTGCCCTCTCCCCCTCTCTCTCATCCCAAATGATCTCTGCTAGCCTGCCCCCTGCCCCTCTCTCTCATCCCAAATGATTTCTGCTAGCCTGCCCCCTCCGCCTCTCTCCCATCCCAAATGATCTCTGCTACCGTACCATAACCGTCGTCTCGAGGATGCGCATGTAGATGTTGTAGTTGATCATGTCTGAAAAAGAACTTTTCACAAAGTCCAGGCTGTCCCTACCGAATTTGGTGGTCGTGTGGTTGAGACCGGTCTCCTCTCCATCCCTCGGATCTGTAAACGTTCTCTCACTCACTCTTCCTCTCTCTCCTCTCTCTCTCTCTCTCTCGCTCCTCTCTCTCTCTCTCTCTCCCTCTCTCTCTCTCTCACCAGGAACAAAAACACTCACAACAAGGACAATTCCGTGGTATGTAGCCGTAATTCCCATCGGTGTCGGCGTTATGGACGCCAGTTCGCCCCAGTAGCATCCCAGTGGGCTCTGTTCCATTTTCCTAAAAACTATTTTACGAGCTTTTGTAAAAAAATATCTGAGTTTCAGCTCAAAAAATTCTGAACTCAAAGCTCAGCTCTAAAAGTTTTTGAAAAAGTCGACATTTCGCGTCAAAAACGGCCATTTTTGGGCGAAAAATCGATATTTCCGGTAGTAGTTTTTATTTCCTACCAAAGAATTTTTGAACCCCCGTTAACGCGAAAGAACCCCCGAAATTCGTACCCGCCGGTCGTCGTATTGGTCGTCGCTTTGCCATTTATTGCAGGCGATTTGGTGCCTCGCGGCAGGCTGGAAAATTACGGGTACTGTACTCTTAGCGGGGGGGTGCGTCCGAAATGCAATTGCCGTAGGTGATAAATTCCTGGAATCCATGGTGCTGGACCCACTCGCTGAAGTGGATGTCGTCCTCGTGGATGCTGCTCAGCGACGGCGTCAAGTCCATCTCGGCACAGCCCGAGTCGATGTCAAACGGGCGGACATAGGCTTCGCAACGGATCGGAAGCTGGAAGGGATGAAGAGGAGAGCGAGAGAGAGAAAGACAGAGAGACAGAGAGAGAGAGAGAAGAGACAGAAAGAGAGAGACAGTCAGACAGACAGACAGAGAGAGAGTGGAGAGAGAGAGAGAAGGGGAGAGTGAGAGGGAGCGAGAGAGAGAGAGAGAGAGAGAGAGATAGAGAGCAACAACCCTTACCGGATACAGCCAGTCCGAATCGGTCGTCGACTGCCGAAAGCCGCACGTCCCGGCCTCCTAAAAGCGAGAAACGGTAAGGCTGGCCTTTCGGCTCAGGCAGCTTAGGCTTGGCTTAGGGCTTGGCTTAGGCTGGCTTGAGGCTTGGCTTAGGCTTTAGCAGGCTTGGCTTAGGCTCGCTAAGAGCAACACATGCTCTACTAGACTCATATATATTGAACAGCCGCTTGTTTATCGGCTCGTGCATCACCGGCTTGACGTCGGCTTTCTTCTCACAGCGGCAGTGCATAACTCCAACTTGTCTCCACGTAACAGAGGTCGCCTCGTAGCAGCCAGTAGCTTCTTCGGGTCTGGCTCCTCCCCGGCGAACACGTAGCATCACCGTCCCGGTGGGGCATACTGAAAAATTTCGGTTGATAGCCTAGCCAAGCCTAAGCCAAGCCTAAGCTAAGCCTGAGCCAAGCCTAAGCCAAGCCTAAGCAAGCCTAAGCCAAGCCTAAGCCAAGCCTCAGCCGAAGCCTAAGCCAGGCCTAAGCCAAGCCTAAGCCAAGCCTAAGCCAAGCCTAAGCCAAGCCTAAGCCAAGCCTAAGCCAAGCCTCAGCCAAGCCTAAGCCAAGCCTAAGCCAAGCCTAAGCCAAGCCTAAGCCAGGCCTAAGCCAAGCCTAAGCCAAGCCTTACCGTAGATCTGTTGCTTGTGGTCACGTATATATTCGGAGAAGAGGACACGTGGATATAGATCATCTCCGGCAAAATCCAACCCGGCTTCTTCCCACTTTTGTTCCCCTTCAGCTTGTGGTCGGTACGCGCCATTCGGCCTGAAAAGAGAGTTCTTTTGCATTAACGGGGAGGGGGAGCAATTGTCTTCAGATTCGATTTTTCGAAATATAAATAGAGGAACCGAGTCTTATCCGTTTTACTATGCTCTAAGCGTAACAACCGTAGAAATTTCTGTGGAAAATACAAAAAAATATCGATTTTTCGACGAAAAAATGGACGCATTTCGCCAAAATTTTGAATTTTTTCAGTTTTAGAGCAAATTCCCGAATTAACATGTTTTAAAGGACTGTAGAGAGTCAGGCAGATAAAAAAAATCAATAAAAACCGACGGTGGCGCCAGTCGGCATATCGGTTGAAGTCGACTGGTGGCAGAGGAGGAGGAGAATTCCAAGCTCATATAGCAGCATGATCCCGATAAGGTGAAATCCGAGAAAAACAATGACAGGTTTTCGTGGCGGCCTCAGACAATTCAGAGGGATTTATGCAAATTCAGCAGCCGCACAAAAAAAACCGCTTTCCTGCTTCGATCTAACTCACTACATTCCTCAAAGAATCTCGGCTAGCCTGCCCCTCCATTCCTCAAAGAATCTCTGCGAGCCTACCCCCTCATTCCTCAAAGAATCTCTGCTAGCCTGCCCCTCCATTCCTCAAAGAATCTCTGCTAGCCTGCCCCTCCATTCCTCAAAGAATCTCTGCTAGCCTGCCCCGTCCATTCCTCAAAGAATCTCTGCTAGCCTGCCCCGTCCATTCCTCAAAGGATCTCTGCTAGCCTGCCCCTCCATTCCTCAAAGAATCTCTGCTAGCCTGCCCTCCATTCCTCAAAGAATCTCTGCTAGCCTGCCCCGTCCATTCCTCAAAGAATCTCTGCTAGCCTGCCCCGTCCATTCCTCAAGGATCTCTGCTAGCCTGCTGCTCCATTCCTCAAAGAATCTCTGCTAGCCTGCCCTTCCATTCCTCAAAGAATCTCTGCTAGCCTGCCCCGTCCATTCCTCAAAGAATCTCTGCTAGCCTGCCCCGTCCATTCCTCAAAGAATCTCTGCTAGCCTGCCCCTCCATTCCTCAAAGAATCTCTGCTAGCCTGCCCCTCCATTCCTCAAAGAATCTCTGCTAGCCTGCCCCGTCCATTCCTCAAAGAATCTCTGCTAGCCTGCCCCGTCCATTCCTCAAAAGAATCTCTGCTAGCCTGCCCCGTCCATTCCTCAAAGAATCTCTGCTAGCCTGCCCCGTCCATTCCTCAAAGAATCTCTGCTAGCCTGCCCCGTCCATTCCTCAAAGAATCTCTGCTAGCCTGCCCCGTCCATTCCTCAAAGAATCTCTGCTAGCCTGCCCCGTCCATTCCCTCAAAGAATCTCTGCTAGCCTGCCCCCTCCATTCCTCAAAGAATCTCTGCTAGCCTGCCCTGTCCATTCCTCAAAGAATCTCTGCTAGCCTGCCCCGTCCATTCCTCAAAGAATCTCTGCTAGCCTGCCCCTCCATTCCTCAAAGAATCTCTGCTAGCCTGCCCTTCCATTCCTCAAAGGATCTCTGCTAGACTGCCTGGCCCTCAAATACCGAAGTTCTCTACTTTTTGGTACTTGTCTATTAACGGGGGGCGCGCTAGGCTATTTACATTTTTGTGAAAAAATACAAGTGCCTGAATGAATTAAAAAATCCGGAAACCTTTTCGAAACGGTGAAAATTTGGGTCTGATGCGTTATCGGGGGGGGCTACCATTCCGCAAAGAACCTCTGCTAGCCCTTCTGTTGTCGCTTGTCCCCATGTAAAACGCGTAATCATTTATCATCTTTCATCGAACAACAACAACAATAACAACAGCAATAATAACGACACCAAAAACGTAACAACATTTCCAACAAGTAACAATTATTTTTGAGAGCGAGAGAGAGAGCCGCATCAAATGGTAACAACAATAAAGATGAATAAATGAAAAATACAAAAATAAAACAATCAAAAACACAAAAATTTCTTGCACTTCCTCATGAAGACTTGGCGGGCTGGTTGAGCTGGCGCATCGCGACGAGGTACTGTAGCCCGTACTTGTTCTGCTCGGCCCTGGAAATGAACCGAAATATATGGATTACTCATCCCAAATGATCCCTGCTAGCCCATTCTGCGCTCCTTAAAAGCCTTTTGCTAGCTTGCCCCCATATTTATGCGCTTTTCGGTGCTTTTCCATTATCGGGGGAGAACGGGGAATCAAAAATTTCTTAAAGATCCCGAAATAGATAGTAACGGAACTAAATTGTCTTAATAGTGTTTTAGTTAAACGTAACAATATTTCGAGCGGAAAACTCTAAAAAACTTTAAAAAATTAACAAAATTTTTGAATTTTTAAATCAAAATTTACATTAAAAATTTTCGTCGAAAAATAGTTAATTTTGAATTGTTAATAGAGGTTTTACGATTAGAAATAGCAAAAAAAAACAGGTTGGAAACAATCAAAAACTGAGATCGTAAGAATACTAAATTCACAAACGGCATCCAAAAAAACCTAGAATTATTTGTGCTACTTGTTTATGCGTCGATTCCGCCTAGACAAAAATAACAGACCCCCAAAACGCGTGAAACTCACATGCTCCTGATGAGTTGCGTGTGGTGCTGGATGAACTGCTGGAGGCCGGTGAGCAGCGCCGCGTCGCCCCGGCCCTTCAGCTGGCCGCCGTGCACCTTCAGCACGGCCTGGATCCATTTCTAAACGGAAAAAATCGTCATTTTAAAAAGAGCTCGCTTTTCCGCAAGAATTTCTGCTAGTTAGCCCCGTTCCCTTTAGCGCAAAAATGAGGCTCACCATATAAAAGTGGACATGCGGCGAGCTGTAGGCCACCTCGCCGTCGGCGATCCATTTCAGCAACCGTTCGGCGTACAGCAGCGGAATCGTTTGGCAGACCAGCTCGACTAAAAAGAGGAATAGGTTTCTGGGCTGTTTTCCATTGGCGAAGGGGGGGTAATTTTCCTAACGAAAAGTCAGCAAAATGCCGTCTAACTATCTTTAAAATGTCGAAAAACTATCTAAAAACTCTAGAAAATTGTTGAAATTTGTCGAAAATCGGCCGTTTGTATTATTGTATCGGCAAATCTATATTTTGTTTTTTTTTAATAAAAATGTCTGATTTTACGTGCAATACTAGCTAAAATCAACTTCCAGGTGGAAAAAACTATTGAAAATGTTAGAAAATTGTTGAAATTTGGTCAAAAATCGGCCAATTTTGCTTGAAAAATCGACATTTTATTTTTTTAATAAAATTGTAAACATTTTTACGTTTAGAAGTTGCCAAAATTGGCCTAGAAACACAAAAAAAGTACCAAAAATCACTTACTCTGGCGGACGGGCGTCGCCTCGAGGCACTGCGTCACCAGCAAGTTCTCGTTCAGCTTCAGCGCCGCCATCAGGGCCGTCGAGTACTCGTTGAGGGGGAGGTGCCTGGAAAGGGAGAATAAAAACTGCGACCAGGCAGGCGAGCAGTGATTTTTGAGGAAATTTTCATGGCAAATCCAAAATACGTTTTTATCGTATACAAAAAGATTTTTCACTTTTCACACTTCGTAAAAAATACGTTAGAAAATATTTTATATTATAAATTATAAAATTATGAAAAAATGTGACTTTTTCGAGCAAGATTTTCGCCAAAAAATTCCTTCCGACAATTATTTCATAAAAATTTACTTTTGAACGGTGGCCGGGCTGGTGCTGGAGTCGAGCTGGAACGGGTCGAACAGGGTGAGCATGTCCAGCGAGTACACGCCACACCCCTCCGTCGAGCACACCGAGAAGCGACGGCCTGGAAAATAGGAAATTTGGCTTCCGAAGCCATTTAAAATGCAAACAAAATCAAATTTTCAAAAATTACGATTCCGCAACAATCCCTCGTAGTCTGCCTTTGATAGATTTTTTTAATTTTATAAATCGGCTAAAACGTCAAAATCATATTTCCGTAACAACCCAAAATTTCTAAATTTAGAATTCCCTCAACTATTCCTGCTAGTTTGCCTTTTAAGCTCACAAACCTGCTAAAACACGCTCAAAATAAATTTACCAGATTTTCCAAGACCAGGAAACTTCTAAAACTGCCACAATCGAAATTCCAGAGTTCCAAAAATTCCTAAAAATCATTTGCTAGCCGACTTTGACGAAAAAAAGGGTTTCATCGAATCTCGAGATCAATTTTGGCTTCACAAACACAATAGGCCATCAATTTCACCTTTCCCAAAAGATATCTGCTAGCTTGCCTTGCCAAAAAATAGTCGAATTTTCTGCGCATTTTTAACTTCCTGATGGCTTTAAAACAAAAATTTTAAATTCAAAAAAAACCTCTCAACTGTTACCATAAGATCTCTGCTAGCTTGCCTCTAGCGAAAAACTGGGTTTTTCACCTCTGCAGTATTTTGGCTTGCCAGTAACCCTTCAAAAAGCGTAATTTTTAATTCCCAAAGACTCTCAGCCATTCCCAAACAATTTCTGCTAGCCTGCCCCTTAAAAAACTAGCGTTTCCATTTTTTAATTTGTTAAAATATCAGTTTTAAGGAAAAAAATAAGAATAACCAACCAGTCGGGCAGAACGACAGGTTGTGGACGGCAATCTGCGGCTTAGCGACCGTTCGCCCTTATCCGAGTGGACCGTCCCGGGGGAGCTTGAGTTGTTTCTAAAATCAAAAATAATCTTAAAAAGGGAGAAACAGGCTGACCCTGGCCGCCTGATCATCATCCGAATCACTGTCGTCGCACAGCTGCATGTTGCCGAATTCCGAGAAGTTGCGCCGGTTGATGTCGGGCTGAAAACAAGACGTTGAAGAAAATTTTAATCATAAACGGTTCCTCGAAGAATCCCTGCTAGCCTGCCCCAGAATTTAGCCGATTCAGTCAAAAATTCCTTGAAATTCTGCTCAGCCTATGTTCAAAAAGAACAGAAAAATAAAAGAAAATTTGAAAAAGAACAAAACGCTGAAAATAGTCGAAAAAGAGTGTTTCATAAATTAACACTAGTAATTTTGTGAATGAATGTCCATGGAATTCAGCGGTATTCTAAGCCCGGCCTTATCTATTGCGGGAATCATTCCGGTAACGTATTCCGGGAATCGGTAAAATTCCCGGAATCGTTTTCATCTAATTCCGGAACAGTTACGGAATTAGGGATCCCCGGAATTAGATGAAAGTGATTCAGGAATATCTTTCCCGATTCGAATGCATTCCCGGTATTGTTTTCATCTATTCGGGGAATATCAGTACATTCGGAATTCAAAGACTTGAAAATCGTTCAGAAGTAAAAAAGGTTGTTATTAAAAGGAAAAAAAATTCTAGTATTTGTATAAAGAGTTAACCAAACGCATTTTGCTGAGCAATAGAGATTTCAATTTTTTATTTTTAAACGCTCTATAACTTCGCTAGGAACTACCAGGTTTAGTCTGAAATTTTAATAATAGCTGATTAAGCCGCCTTTCGCTTCTGTAAAAATTTCAGCAATTTTGTAGTGTTTCACCTAGATTCCCGGAATGGTTACCCACCCTTTGGTTGGGACAGCCTTAACAAAATTATTCCTGGAATGACATTCCGGGAATTTGCCTAAAATTCCCGGAATAGATGAAAATGATTCCGGAGTTAATTCCCCGGAATGACTTACCGGAATAGCATTGCGGTAAACTATTCCGGATTCCCGAACAGATGAAAACGCATTCCGGAATCGATTCCCCGGAATGAATTCAGGGAGATTCCCGGGATGATAAGAGGCACTTCCGGAATATTCCGGAATAGATAAGGCCGGGCTCTGTTCAATGCTCTCTGCTAGCCTGTCGCCCTCCCCGTCAAACCCCTAGAAACCTCTCCAAATTCCCACCACAACTCCATCCAGGCTTCGATTCAGGGTGAGCGTGAACTTGCGGGCAGCAGCCGTTCGGCTACAGAGTACAGGCAGACGAAATTCGACTCGCCGCCGGCGATCAGTAGCGCGCCGTCGGGGAGAAGCAGATTGAGGTCAGTGATCTGAAAATTTTTATGAACGAAATTAAAAATCGGAATTTTAAAAAATAATTGTTAATTTGAAATACATCAAATTTCGATTTTGAAAATATAAACCTGCACACTTGTGAAGGGCCAGAAAACGTACCTTATTCCTCTCCGAGGTGCTCTTCTTGATCGCGCTCGAACTTGGAGCGGCCAGCCTCAAAGTCAGGCGGCCGTCGATCGACCCCGTGGTCCATGTCCTGAAGGATCATAAACATTAAATGTGTATTTAAAATGAGGTAAATACCACATTTTAAGCGTCAGACCATTCAGAAAAAAACCTGATTTTTTTAAAGACCGTTGAAGATGGCCGGGCGTCCCCAGGGGTGAGGGGACCGACGGGGCGATACCATGAACGCTTTCCATCGCGCGTAAGGGGCCCCCAAAACCCCCAACTGGATTTGCAGAAAACTGGTTTATAGCCATAACTTTTTTGATTGGACTATGTTTTTGGCTGGAAACTTTTATAAAAATAGTTTATAGCCATCCCCATCGATGGTAAAATTTGAGGCTGATTGGAACGATGGCTGCCATGTTCTGAGCGAAAAGATGTTTTGGGGCGTTCTTTACTTGAAAAATCGTCGGAAAGGGCATAAACACTTCAGGAAATTCCAGGGAAGACGCTCCTTGCCCCTGGCAAGCTTTTCTGTAGGATTTTTTCGTTATTATTATCTATAAATAGCTTTATTTTAAATTGTCCTCAGTGACGGCACGGATGAACCCTAGGGTGCCGGGGGCCCCTCCCGCCGCCCTCCCCACTCGACCCCTTTGGTGTGGGGTAACGCGTTGGACTGCGGGGCGGACCATCCCTGGTTCGACCCCGGCCGGTGCACACACGTCTTGCTTTTGACCAATCCCATCTTTCCAGAGTGCCTTTAATGCTGACACAATTGCTTTAATGTGAGAACTCGGCCCGAAATTCTTCCGGTTTTCGTCGAAACACGGGTTCGCAAATTTTTCACAGATGTCAAACCCAAAAAAACTAATTAGATTTTTATTTTTAGCGTAGTTGTATTTATAATTAAAGGATATTGCTGAATAAAAATTTGCTGAAAAAAATTGAAAAATTGACCAAAAACTACAATAATAATAAATCATACATTACCAGAGGATTTTTGCCTCTGAAAAAACCTAGCCATAGCCATTAATAATTAATAATAGACTCGATTCAATTCTCCCGGTGGACCGTTGAAACATAAATTTGCAAAAAGTTTCAGAAACTACTAACGCTCAATGCTGCCCGAACAAATTGGTTTCTTTTCTGTTAGCGGGGTGGCTGCACTAACATCAGGATAAAACTAATTACTTTCAAACTACTTAAGATAATAAATGGAAATTGGTGAAAGAACTAATTGCTCTTCAGAAATTAGATTCCAGGCCAAAGATTTCAAGCAGCCAATTTCGTGAAACATTTCTGCTCCTTTCCTAATGCTGATTTTTTTGTCAGAGGAATTAATCGAGGGAAAAAGTTCAAAATTCAGTTTTTTCTAACAATATCCCGAATCTTATTGTGCTAGAAAAATTAATTCGGAGAGATGATCGATTTCCACCCTTAAAAACATCGCTCATCCATCTATCGAGGAAGCCCAGGCAAAATCGGCATTTTTTTGGCGGTCCGATTTGTGTACACAATATAATGCTTCGCGCCAAATTCGCCTGGTTTGCAGTAAAAACACATAATTTGCAAAATTACCAATAATACCCCAAAAAAATAAAGTGATAATTATCTAGCTGAATTTTCTCTTTAGAAGAAGAGTTTTAATTATCAAATTTATCAATAAATTTTAAAAAAAGCAAAAAGTGACAGTCACTATTAACAGATTTTAGCGGATCAAAAACGCCATCCAACGATCAACAAAAACTCGATTCAAGTCTCCCGGTGGGCCCGTTGAAACACAAAGTTGCCAAAACAAAATGGACAACCAATCAACCGCTGAATTCTGCGGAATAAATTGGTTCTTTTCCCCTAGCGGGGGATGAGCCAAACTGCCGGGATAAAACTAATTACTTTCTAACGACTCAAAATAAAAAAATAACTGGCAAATTGGTAAAAGGAACGGTTGTTGCTTATATTATACCCAGGCCAACGATTTCAAGCAGCCGATTGTATGAAGCATTTTTTTTCTTCTCTTTCATTTCGTTTTGAACGAAACAAATAAAATTTTAATTAATAAATTACAAAATGAATAAAAATAAAAATTAGCCACGGTCTACTAAATGCCAGTCTTGACCTTTTTTGTTGTAAATACACTAAAAAATTAAGAAAATAAAAAGTTAATACCGTCGAGTAGAAGCCGATCGTCGAGTCCATCGTCAGCACGGCGATCAGGTTGCCGCATGGGGAGAAGCGGATGGCCACGCACTCGCACACGAGATCCGTGTGGTCGACCGTCTGCGACTCCGTCACGTTCCACAGTCTGCAAATTAAATTAATCATATAAAATTAAATCTTAAGATTCAAAAAAATAAAATGTTTCGAATTGGGAAAGGATTCCCATTGATTTTGTCAAACCCAATCATGACGAACTAGCATGTCCAAAATTGCTAAAATTTACTTTTAGCGATTTTAACTAAATAAAATTTAATTTATCTGAATTTATTTGCGTCGAATTTTATATAGTTAAGTTTAATTTTATATATTTTTAATGATTTTTGTCTTTTAACGCGTTAAAAAGCTTTTAAAAATGTAGGGTTTCTGATATGGAATCATTCCATTTTCTTAATGACCTAATTCTTCAAGAAGAAATACAAAAATAAATAATTAAATTAATTCTAAAAATTAAAAATAAAATTGACTTGAACGTCTTGTCGAGGGAGCCGGTGACGAGCTGGTTGCCGTGGAGGGAGATGGACGGCACGATGGAGCTGTGGCCGGCGAGGACGTCGAGGGCAGTTGACCCGTCTCAGGCTCCACATGAATATCTGAAGAATTGGCATTAGAAGGTTGAAAAAAATCAGATTTCCGAAAAACCTTCTCCTAGCCGCTGCCCCTTGCTCAAGCGACGCTCCTTGCTAGCATAGCTAAGTCTTTACCGACAAAGTGACCAGCAGAATGAAAACAAACAGCAAGCCTGAATCGAGATATTTCAGGTGAAACATATTTTTTCAAATTCAGACAAGAAAGAAATTATCGGAGGCCTTAATCGGTCGTCTTCCTCTCAAGGGATCTCTGCTAGCCTGCACCTCTAAGAACTTTCTGGTTTTGGAAAAATCCACGCCGGCGAGTCCACAAAATTCCACTCGATCAGTTTCTGGAACTCCTCCCAAATGATCTCTGCTCAGCCTTTTCCCTGGAAGGTTTCCGGTTTCCACAAAAATCCATGCTAGCCTGCCTTTAAGTTCAGCCCTTCGAGCAGATTTTTGGCTTCAAATGATCTCGAGCTAGCCTGCCCAAGCCGTTCAGACCTAAACTCCCAGTAGCTCTCTTGCTATCACACCGCTGGAGCTTTCCGGTTTTCCACAAAAATCCCACCTTAAGCTTGCCCGATTTGATTTTAATTACACATTTTAGTCCTAAATTCCCAAATCCTCTTAATATATATTAGCCTGCCGAAGCCATCCCCTAAAATCTAATGGTATCATACTACCTTTTTCTCCGGAAGAAAATTCCGGAGTTCCTGAAAAATTCATGCTAGCCTGCTCAAATTCATTTGAATCGTACATTTCTCTATCCTAAATTCCCAAATCCTCTCTAACTAGCCTGCCCCAGATTCCCAAATCGCTCACGCTGAACGGCTCCTTGGCGGCCGCGATCAAGATATCACCAGCGGCGTCGACGACGAAACGCGCGAGTTGCGTGGGTTCGAGGACAGACCAGCGTGCGCGGAAGTTGCGTATTTATCTAAAAAAGGATATATTTTTCTTAAGAAACGCAAGAAACGCATAAAAAATAACAAAAAAAATCCAAATAACGAAAAACCAAAAACAAAATATATTTTGTTATTTTGAGTATGTACCTACTACAAGTCGTGGGCCCTGACGGTGCCGTCCAGCGAAGGAAGCGAGAGCACGGCTTTTCCATTTCGGGTCAAGCTACCGGAGATGCAGGAAATTGTGCTCGGTGAACGTGACGACGCAGAAGCTCGTCCGGGCCGACCAGACTTAGCTGAAAAAAGTGAGTTTTATGTATGCATTAAAATGCCTAAGACCGCGTAAAAATTAACCCTATAAAACTAGCAGCATGTAAATTCACTTAAAGATTACTTAGATTTTTGCAGACTTAAAAGTACAGTTTTTAAATGTGGTTAAAAGGCCTAAAATCCTGCTGATACTATTGTAGATTTGAGACTTGGATTTTTCGCAGCTGAAATAATTGTAAAAAGTGCAATAAAAAGCAAGAGCCTTCTCGTTTTGTTTTAAAAAAATGTGCGCAGCCTGGAAGTGAGTACGATGAGGCGCTCGCGAAAATAATGTGCGAACGTGCAAAATCAAAATCGTTGATCTTTAAGATTGCGTAAAGCGCGTGAAAGCTAGCCAGAGATTTTCAGAATTCCGGCAAAACTATGAAATTTAAAACCCAGAAAAACCCAAAGGATCTCAGCTACGCTCGCCTACTAGCTTGTTTTTGCTTCTTTTTTGAAAGATGTTGCGACTTTGCAGTGGTACGATCGAGATACTAAGCCCTAAAAATAATACAAGAGCAGCGAGGCACCTGCGATATCGATTACCAACCAAATGAGTAAAAAGTGGAAGCTAGCACAGGTTCTTTAGGATCCATGGTAAAAATCCTTGAGCAGGCTGTAGCAGCCCCTATAGGGAGCCGAAACGCCAAGCAAGGGGCAAGGTAGCCGAGATCACTTTAAGAACTCGGTGCAAACCTAAGCTGAAAAATCAACCCGATCCCGAAGGATCCCTGCCATCCTACCTAATGCTCAAAAGCACAGATCTGTTTTTACCAGGGATAAATCAGACTCCTACAAATATCTATGCTAGCTGGTGGCATGCTGAATTCCCCTAAATTAGCCAGCGTTTTAAAAAACTAATTTTACTCAGAAATCACTGCTAGCCGACCTGCTAAAATCCTAGCGAATTTAAAAATCAATAAAATCTAAATTTCCTGAAGGAACACTGCTGGAAATCGAGTTCAAGAAAATCGAAAATAAAATCACCTTTGCCCATCCTCGCCTCCAGTCACCAATTTGGCCGTAGATCGGGAGCTGAACTCTCGGCGGACAGGATGCGCTCGAGAAGATGGGGACTGCTAGCTTCAGCACGTACGTCTCGCTCTGACCGAAAATTTTTAATTATATGATCTTCCATAAAAATATCTGGAACTCGGATCATTAGCATTATCAGGGGCCTACTTTTCTACAGGATCAGAATTTTCTATAAATGGGAAGTGTTTCTAAACAAGATATGTTTTGCTTATTTTAAACGTAAAATCTTACAGAATTTTGATTAAAAATATAAAAATACCTATTTTTCGCCCACGATGTCGTCAAAAAATTTCCAGAATTTTTTGTAGTTTTCACATAATAATAGTTGGAAATCTCACAAAAAAACACTATTATAACCCTTCAAGGTGCGTCAATTTGGTAGTACCGTAATCTAAAAATCCGGAATTCCTTTTCTGAAAAGTAAGCTAACGCCAAAATCCGAAAATTTCGTCATTTGGAAACTACGTACTATACCCGAAAAAAAAGCAGATTTTTTCATATTTCATAATTCACAGCCAAAGCAACGCCCGAAAAAGGGGATATGCAGGGAAATTCGGTCGTTCAAGAGAAGGACAAGGAATCCAGGAGTAAAATTTAAAAGCACACAAGAACTGGCCTGCCGCCTCCCAGACGACCAGCTGTGCCGAGGCCCTTGCCGCAACCGATGGCCAGCCAAGTCGTACGCCTTCGAGATGGCCAGCGAGAGATGCTGAATGTCGGAGACTAGCTGAAAAAAGAGTGCATAAAATGAGTTTCAAAGGATTCTAGTTTCGCCCGTCAGGAACGGGTAGATTCAATAATTTACAGGTATCCTCATGTACAAAAATCCGACAGCTACTTGAGGTTCTTTGGGAGAAAATGAATGCGCGCACGGCGGTGTGAGAGAGTTAGCCGGGGGAACGAGCAGAGATTCTTTAGGAATGAGCAAGCCAGCCGGGGTTGCCTGGAAATCTAAATTAGCGGGCAAGCAAGCAGAGATTTTTGGAGGACTTGATAATCCCGGAACAGGGCAAGGACGAGGCTGGCATGAGATCCTTTTGGAAGTCGAACAATTGGGGGCAAACTGGCGAGGGGTCTTTTGGGAAACCCGGCATGACAGGGAAGATTCAGGAGCAAGCTAGAGTTCACAGGAAAAAAGTTCAAGACACTGAGAGGATAGCTTGCAGAGATTTTTGGGAAATGATTGCTTATCCGGAATCGAGGCTTGAGGGCAGCTAGCAGAGGACTTTAGGGTTATCCGAATCGAGACAGCTCGGACCGGAAAAAGGGACGCGCGCTGGCGGTTCTTTAGGAAATTCCGTGCGTGCTCAGAGGCAAGCCAATTACAGATTGACAGAGCTGGCAAGATCCTTTGGAAAGTTCCTAAAATCCGAAATCAGGGCATAGGGCGAGCTAGCAGAGGTTCTTTTGAGAATCCCTACGAGACCCGAAGCAGAGCTTTGAGAAACCGTCAGGTTAAAATATACAGGGTGTCCCAAAAAAAACGAGACCATCCCTGGTATTTATCACGTGGTACATCCAATCAGACCAAGAAATTTGGACCAGAGGTGTATCAGACCTCAAATAGCAACAATCTGGCTTACAGCGCCGTCAGCTACGGTTGTTCTAGAGTTATGACGAAAATACTGTTTTTCCCGGAATTTTTTGAACGGTTTTTCGGCTATCTTTTTGGACTTTGCATTGAATTTGCATCGACTTCCGGCTGCGAATCCCTATCGTTTCGTAGAAGAACTTGGAGTAATTTTGCGTTGTAAAAGTCGCTTAAATCCAAGCTTATTTAACAAAATTTGCTCTGGGAAAAATTCCTTAGAGTAAAGAAGCCTTCGAGATCATTTTTTCTTAATGTTTGGGGGTCTAATTCACGAAAACCTATGAAAAAGACAAAATAAAGTTTGTTTTTTGCCCATAACTCGAAAACTACTGTAGCTACGGGGCAAAAATTGAGTATTGTGGTTATTTGGGGTCTGATCCACCTCTGGTCCAAATTAGGAGTCGAGTCGGATGTATGACTTATGGCGAAATGTGCCAGAATGGTTCGTTTTAGGGACACCCCTGAAGGCATCATTTGTAACAAGAACTTTTAGGACTCAAGGTCCAGCTAACCAGGAGGGCAGGCTAGCAGAAACCATTTGAGTCAGTCAATTTACTTTTTTTCAGGACAAAAATATAGTAAGTTATGAATCAGCGACAACGACGGGAACTATCGAGCAGCACGAAGACTCCATTAGCGAATCCGGCAACGAGCGGCCCGCTGTCGCGGTGGAATCGCTCGCCGTAAACCGTCGTCCTCCATGCGGTCGGGAGCCGGCCAGGTCGTGGTGTTATTAACTCTAAATAAAATATAAAATTAATTATATAAAAATATATTTATAAAGAAATAAAAAATAAAAAGATAAAAAAAAGCTAAAGTAGGCTCATTTTCGGAATACTCCCACAAACATAGTTAAGAATAGAGTTTTCCCTGTTGATAGGCACGAAAAAAATGCAACCTATTTTTTGAAGACATTGTTCGGTTCGACTTTTTTTTGTGCTGATACCAATAATTCACTCAAAATTAGGCAAAATAGCCTCTAAATAAAAAAATACGCCTATAAAGAAAAAAAAGGATAAAAACTAAAATAAGCCGATTACTCGAATCAACTCGCAACAAGGGCGATTGTTTTTATTGTTTTTAGGCGCAAAGAATTCGGAAATTTAATTGAAAAACTGGAATTTTGTTATCGCACTTATTCCAATAAATAACTACTAAAAAAAGGCAAAACAGCCTCCAAGCAAAAAAACACACATGCAAACAAGCTATAAAAGCCAGAAAGAGCCGATTTATCGAACACACTCGGAATTACAGAAATTACTGCTCCGGTGCTCGCATTGTTTTTCGGGCAGAAAAAAAAATGAAACACTGTTTTTCATCGATGAAGCCCAACAGACTTTGCACTGTAATTGATTAAAAAGTAACGAAAAACGCCCAGAAAGATTCTAAATAACACTAACTACAAAATTAATACAGACAATAACGAAGATCAATTCAAGCCTGTTCCCGTTCTTTTAGGCAGAAAAAATTTGCAACACACTGTTTTAAAGATCGTTTTAAATTCCGTTTTCGTGTGTATTCTGATAAAAAGCGAAACCCGACGAAAAATACCTGTAAAAATCAGAAAAAACCCTCTACTACGCTTGTTTGCAGCTTCCAAGACAACGGCTCAGCTTGCTCGTCTTCTCGTGAGCGAGCTCGAGGCAGGCGGACCTCGTCCTCCTTGTCGAATTTGCCGTCGGGCAGGTCGCTGCCCTAGAAAATGGACAAAATAAATCGTCAAAATCAAAAACTCACCGCCAAGCTGCACCGCCACGCTGTTTATCGAGCCGCGCTGATCGGCGCTGACCAACTAAAAGAGAAGAAGGTTAAATGAATCTTTACCTTACCTCGGTGAAATCAAAAAATTTTAGCTTAAAGAAAAGCTCGTCCTCGGCGGGATTCGAACCCGGGTAGCTAATTTGTCGGACGGACAGCACTACCAATCAGCCAGAGCTAATTTTTAAACTACCCACATCATGTACGAATTCTTCTGAAAATCAGCGCACACGATGCGGCCCTTGTGAGCGGCAATGTTGAAGTTGGTAGAGTTCATGCGTCGACGACGCGGCGCGATTCGGATCATCATTGTCTTCGATCGCCGATGCAGAGGTCTGAAAAAATGGAAGATTTAAATTCGCCGCAAAAATGTCGATTTGTCCTAAGGATAGTAAGCATTGTAGTAGCGGTTTTAGTAAAATTCTACTAGAAAGATGTCAAAAACCAAATCTCAGAAAATGTATAGTCCAAATTTGGACCGAGAAATCGACACATTTTTGCATTTTTAATCAAAAACTTGTAAAGTTTATACGTTTTAGGAATAGTAATAAATATTTTAAAAACACATATTAACTATTTTATATTTAAAAAAATTTGTTCCTAATAGAAAATTTCTTCATCCCGAAAACCCTTTGCTACAGCCTGCTTCCCGAACCTGGAGTCACAGCTCCAGCTCACTGGGAGATGGGCGTCTCAGGCGAGAGGTGAAGGAGGCTCGGATGAAAATGGGAACAGGCGGAACATATTGTTCACCATGCTGCCCATCTAAAAATAGAAAAAATTTGAAATATAAAGAGATTATAAAAGAATATTAAATTTAAATAATGAATAAATAAATTCATTAAATAATATTACCTGCTGAATCTGCGGCGTATTCTCCGGGGGTGATGGCCGGGTGGCGTCAGCATGGCGAGAATTCGGCGATTTTCGCCAGCCTCGTCGCCTTGAACTGGTGGATGACGGCGGACGTCTCAGGTTGACGTACAGGATCATATCCGCCTGAAAAAGATTGCGTAATCATTTACTCGCAAGCCAAGGAATGATAGAAAACGGCCCAAAAAGTTCAAATTTCAAGTTAATTGCCCAAAGAAATCAGTTTTCAATATACCATGGAAACGCTAGGAAAGCCCACAGACGTACCCTGCCAAAGAGATCCCTTTAAAACAAAAAAATCGTAAAAAAAACCATTTTTTTAAACTGCAAAAAAAACTCAATTTTTTTTTTAGCTCAAAAATCTGTCCAAAAATTTATGTAAAATCGATAGAAATGACGATTAAAACTTTGTTAAACCTTTTGGACACTTGCTATAAACCTTCGATATGCTTTCAAAGCAGTGACTAAGTTCTTCCTATTAATTTTGGGACCTTCTACAGTCAAATATTGATCCCACAAAAATGGCTAAAATTCCGTTTCTAAACACGGTTGCGCGCTAAAAGTATCCACAGCTTGGGAAAGTTTTCGCAAAGCCAATTTCAATGTTTCATTCATACGCATAGCTAAAATGAGCCTCTATGGTATAGTTTTTAAAGAGATAGTTTGGCCAAAATAACCCCGATTGTTGGCTGTTTGCCTAATGCGTTTTAGCGATAAATTTATGGCGGAACGACACATAGCTCAGAAGAAAAATAACAAAATATATTACCAGCTGATCAGAAAAGCCGCTAGTTAGATGGAAAATGCACCGTTTTGGCTATCAGATTTTGCTGAAGATCATTTTTAGTGTTTCATCTTTTCGCAAACTCAAGTACGCTTTTTCTGGGACGAAATCTGTCCTTCTATTTCCTCTTCTAAAAAACCGATTTGTCTAAAAAAACTCAAAAAGTCAAAAAGTTAAGGCTCAAATAACTCATTCTCTCAATGATCGACGTTAAAGAACGTCATTTCCAACACCTTCTAGCCCATGTTTTCGTAAAAACTAAATTATTTCATTTCCAGCGCACCCTCATCAATGACGACGAGATACGTGCCCTCACGGCAGATGAGCGTGATGTGCTGGATGGAGTGCTGGCATTTGAAGGAGATTATGCGCGAGCGGTTGCTAAAAGGAAGTTCTATCAAAATTAAGAATCCGGTATACTTTTTCAAGTCAAAGATCAAGAGATCTTGTGCCGACAGGGCTGATCACCGAATGTCGTCCGGGGAGAAGGAGCACGCGCCCATTCCGGTAGACCGTGCCAATCAGGTTCGAGAACTAAAAAAATAGGTTTTAAAGGTATTTACTAGAATTATGGCCCCAATTTAGCCTAGAAGACCAAATATTCCTATAAAAGTATGTATTTTGATAGTTTTTGATAAACTTTAGCTGTATTGCAACCGGGAAAAGTAGTTAGAACCCTTAAAGATACCGAAAACATTCAATTTTTGGCGTAAAAATCGGCAATTTTGCGTTTTCCAAGCAAAATATACTAAGAAAGATAGTTTCCAGTAGTTTTTAATTATTTTTAGCTTAAAAACAAGCTTTTTACATTTCCTTTAACCGAAAATAAGCTGTAAAACAATATAAAACAGCTTTCTACCTAATTTCTCACCTGAAAATTCGTGTCCATGCTTCTACGGGCATCAGCTGGTGGCCAGGGGTCGTTTTCCGAGCTTCTAAACAATAAAATTATACTTTTACGTCTTATTTAATAAAAAATACATAGAAAAAGGTATCTAAAAAGTCTAAAAACTATAAAAACCTTGAAAAAAATCGTCAAAAACCCCGGAATGAGCCCATGAAATTGAGCGGTGTAGTTCGTAGTCGCAGGGCGGCAGCCCAAAATTTGGGCAAAGAAATGGGGTTTTTAGCTTTAAAAATTGTTTTAAGAATTTGTAAACTCAAAAATATAACTTTTTAAGGTATAATGGAGGCGGCGGAAGCTGTTGATTTTATGCCCGGCTCGACATCCCACGAGCCCGTCGAATTGACCGAGGAAGACCGCGAAAAGCTGGCGAAACAAGAGCCGGCCACCGATTTTAAGGTTGTCTTTTGTTACCATGACGATTTAGTGTATAGAAAAGTAGTTTTAAATAAAGAAGAGCGCTCGAAAGGATTCTATATTCTGGAAAAACTTTAAATTAGCGTTTTGGGACGTTTTTGGGCAGGTTTTGACCGTTTTTCTACTCATGATTCAAGTTTACGAGTGATAAAAAGTCAGCCAATTTTTTGGAACACACTTTTTGAACTTTGCATGATGTTATCCTATTATTGTAGTAATTCTCATAGAAGAAAGATTGTTTTTAGAATTAGAAAAGAAGAAGAGAAGCACGTAAAGCGTTTTGAAGAGTTTTATGGGCTTTAGCACGTTTAATTAGGTTCCTGGGATGTTTTTCAATAGATTTCCGGCTTTTTCTTTCGGTTAATTAGATTTTATTGACGCCGAAAAGTCAGCCAATCGCCTAGAACACATTTTTTGGTCCGCCTAAAGTTTCCGAAAAATTTCTAAGCGTCTAAATTCAATATTTTGTTTCAGAAACGAACATGGTGTAAAAAATAGTATTTTCTAAAGAGGTATATAATCTAAATATAAAAAAATAGTGTCTGTGTGTGGGGGCTACTCTTGTATCCACTTCCGCATCGTTGTTCCAGGCGTATTCTGCGTAGGGGAAGAAGGGGTGAGTGGGTACGATACGTCATTATCTGCGTAATGGTCTAGGGATGACTGTCCACATATCAGATTTATAAAAATCAGCCATTTTCGATATTAAATTTTAGTTTTTGTAAAGCCCTCTTCGCTAGAGAAAATTAGCATCGACCGGAAGTAGAAAGTCGCCTATATAAAGGGTCAGAAGCGAATCATTTTCATTTTTTGGTCATCTGAATGCAGCGCAATTATGCAAAGCGTAGAACAGCATGCGGTCCAAAACGGGCCAGGGGTTGAGAAAAGTCGCGAAGCGGCTTTTTCAGCCCTGTTATAATCCGAAAAAGATTAAATCGGCCTTTCGGGAACTTCGTTCTGATAATTTGCTAGCTCCTTATGCCGATGGAATTACATTTTCTGGGCCAACAAAAGTCAGCGAATTTTTGGAACACATTTTTACGAACTTTGTATACTCTTAAGCGGTAAAACTACGCAATTACATTCAGGGTTAGCCGCAGTTTTCAGGGTTTTGTATGTAAAGCAAAAAAATAGATTCGCGGGATTTTTAGAGTTTCTAAAGGACGTTCTGTTATGGCTTTGCGAACTTTTTGGCCATGTTGGGCTTAATCTCCGTTCCTTATTATTAAGTTTTATGGACTACAAGAAGTCAGCTAGTGGACTGAAACACATATTTTCCACGTCTAAATACAAAAATTCAGCTTCCGAAACCCAAGCTTGGGAAATCGAGGCGCAGGCGAGTGCAGGACCGCTTCTACCACCGGAACCAGGCCAACTTTTTCAGGGACAGGGGTTGGAGCCCCGGGGATATGGCCCGACTTTGTGGCGAGTTGAATACAGAGGTATCTAAAATTTATAGTTTTAAAGTGCAGTTTAGAACCCGATCCTCTACCTAGAGAGGCCGGCTGCGGCGGTAAGAGGGAATATGCTGTTTTCCGATCGCCGAGGCGTATTGTCGCGTCGGAGATTTCGGGTGGATTCCGAAAAACCAAGCTTTTTGCTATGCTATAAAACTAGCTGTTTTAAACTCCGGCAAATTTCATGAATAATTTTAACAACGTTTTTATACTTTTAAGCAAGTTTTAACACTTTTTAACAACCCGAGTTTTCAACTTTCCACAACAATACCTTTTTTAACCACTTTTAAAGTTTTTAGCGTTTTGGGTGGATTTTGCGGTATTTTTCCCGCGTATTGATGACGGATTAACTTTTTAGGGAAACAAGAAACCGCCAATCCACGGAAACACATATTTTACACATGATCCGCGTTTTTGAGGTACTTTTTAGAGGTTTTTAGGCGTGCTTGAGTTCGGTTTTGAGTGTTTAAAAGTTCAAAAAATTTTGCAAGGTTTTTGCTTCATTTCAAACGCTAAAACTCTATTTTTAAGTTCTAAAAATCACACTAAAAGACTCATATACCTTTTCAGAGCTTTGACTTTTCGAAAGAACGCCGTCAAGCTACTCGAGAACGTGCGAGAAGGAGAAAAAGATTCCAGTCGAAACCTCCGTCGTCGACCTATCTATCCCCTTCCGGAATCCATTTTCCGCCCCGGCCGATGTGGCTTCCTCATCTTTGTCATCTCCCGGCGATACCCCACCAAAGCACCGGATTGTCATGGAAGAATTGGCGAGGAACCAGTCAAAGGTATGTGCGGGCCGAACCTTGACGGTAGTCGAGTACGGAGAATTTTTTCTTCATTTCGATTTTCGAATTATAAATCGTAAAAATGTTCCTAAATAGTTTTTGCTATTCTAAACGTAGAAACTTTATAAAAAAGCCAAAAATTCTTATTAAAATCCAAAATATATGAGCTTTTGGACAAAAACGTCAAAATTTTTCTTAGATTATTTGGATCAGGGTTGACTGAAATTTTACTTGGAACGCTATTAAAACTATTAAAAAATACTTAACATATTACCGAAGATTTTTAAAAATAACAGTTTTTGACAAGGTTTTTCTTCCTTCTTTCTTCCTTCCAGTTTTACCGCAACTTTTCCCCGCTTGAAAACACTTGCGTGCGTCCCCAGACATTTTCGAGTTCGCTCCCCGATAAGGCTTAGAACAAACATATTACTAATCTGTTTTAGCCTGGCGGTCTGCTCTTCACATCCGCGACTACGGCGCCAACGACCACGCGATGGTGCGTTTTGGACGCAGCGAAAAGCTGGACAACACTTTCTACGCGCGTCGGGACGGCACTGAGGGCGTACTACTTTTCACGAGTACGCCGATTAAACGATTGATTTTGTTTTGTTATATTTTAACTTTTTCAAAGGTATTTTCACGGTTAAGAAGAGCTCCAGGCGATCTTCTCCGGCTTATTCGAGTGCCAGAAGACGGAATATCTGCATTGAAGGTCGGTCAATCTTCAGAAAGGTTCGACGTGCCCCGGTCTTTTGTGCAGAGCTGCTTTCGGGAGATTGTGATGTTGTTTTGGAGAAATTGTTTTATCCGTGATAAAGATTTCCTAGTAACACTCGATGCAAATACGGCAAAAATCAATTTCTCGAGTTTTCCAAAGCGAAAAAACTACTTTTTTGGTTAAGGGTCCAGTTTTTCTATATAAATAAAGTTTTAATGCGTTTTAGAGAGTTTAAAAAGAAAAAATAAATGAAAGATTTACCGATGTATTTCGACTTTATTAATATCCTCAGGGCATAATAATTAGGGGCCAATTCGCGAAACACATTTTCGGATCCAATTTTTCCAAATTTTCTGGTTCCTTATCCCGGGGGCACTTTTTCCTGAGGATCTAATTTTTGTCCCCCGAAGTGATTCTAAAAGCTTTTTCACCACAATTTGCTAACTTGTAAAAACTTGATGGGGTGTTTAAACATACATAAATATGGGCCTTCAGAGATTCTTAACGCTCAAGGAAATATTTTTTTGTTGTTTTAGATGGCACTTTGTATTTATCAAAAACCCGAAAAATAAATATTCTCTGCCCCCGCAAACGGTCCAGTGTCCGCTGGAATAAAAACATGTTTCAAAGTTCGATGCTAAAACATTGTTTGTTTTTGTGCGTAATTAATTTCTTCATTGCGCGTTGATTCAAAACAATGCCACTTTCAAGGCGATTTTTTAGTGGTCACGATTTTCGAGATGCGACCAGGGCTATTTTGTGCAGAATTTTAAGCTGAATCAGAACCCGCTTTCAGAAAGTGCCTGGAAGCCCGTTTTTCAGAAATTTTGACGTGTTTAGTCCCAAAAAGGAAAAATGCTTGAAAATTTTCAAATTTTAAAGAATCGACGCCTTTTCTTTTCTGGGATCAGGTTTGCTTTTCTCATCCTCTTTTTTTTCTGGGCAACGTGTGCAAACAATTTTCTTCAAAAAATTAAATTCCTGGGATTTTGTGGGAAGTCAAAATCGGCTATTTTGACCTTTTTTGGGACTAAAACACCTCGTAACTTCTTCAAAATGACAGTACAGTGCTTTTTGAAAAGGGATTCGGAATCAGCGTAAAATTCTGCACAAAACAGGCTTGGTCCTATCCCCAGAACCCCTGCTAGCCTGCCCTGATTTGGATGCATAATTTGCATCCAGATCTGCCCCAAGGCAAAACAGATCCTAAAATCAGCATTCGGCGATGTTTTCCCTCTTCGTCTGGTCGTCGCTGCTTCTCAATCCCCCACCCCCGGCCCACCTCTCTGCGCTAAGGAAATGTGAAGGGCTCCCCTCGAATCCGCCGATGATGATCAGCAAGTTCGTCAAGTTTTTGGAGGACAAGATAGCAGAGAAAATTTAGGATTGGGGAAAAAAAAAAAAAAAAAAAAAAAAAAAAAAAAAAAAAAAAAAAAAAAAAAAAAAAAAAAAAAAAAAAAAAAAAAAAAAAAAAGGGAAAGGGGAGGGCGAACTGCCTAGGAGAGAAAATTTAGGATTCGAGAGCCCCCGGCCGGGCAGGCTAGCAGAGATCATTTGTTCATTTCCAGCTATCTCGACATCCTCTACACGGACACGAACCTCATCTTCGACCGCCGCTTCTACAGCTACGTGCTGCCCGCCGTGAAGTCGATGGGCGAGCCGTACACGCTGCGCATCAAGTTCACGTAAGCGGAGCCCCTTTTGGGTGGTTAGCAGAGATCATTGAGGAATCGTCGAAAATTTAGTTGTCTTTCAGTCGCGCCCGCAAAGGCGAGAATCTGTTCAGCGGAGACCCGGCGCGCGTGTCCATTCCCCTGTGAGTTCCTTAAATTGGTCTATTAATGCCTAGCTGTCACTCTCCCTTTAAACCCTGCTGAGTCTGGTGTTCAGCTTCAAAATCTACCTCTTCAACTTGGCCCAGACCTGGAGAATAAAGTGCAGGGGTGGACGATTGAGTTCCAGCAGAAGAACAACTACACCATCTTCTTTAAGGACGGATTTTTGGGTAAGTCGGATGCCTCGCTCTCTCTCTCTCTCTCTCGCTCTCTCTCTCTCTCTCTCTCTCTCGCTCCCCCGTTTTCGATCTCTCGCCTCATGGACTCTCTGTCTCTCGCTAAAAAACTCTCTCTGGCTCTCGGCTCTCTCTCCCCATCGGTCTCTCTATCTCCTGCATTCCAGAATCCGATCCAGTGGAAGAGCGGACGCCTCTTTGGTCGGCCGAGACCGAAAAGTCAACATTTTTCAAGGTTTGCCTTCCGGAATGTGCGGAGAAAATGGGCAGGGCTTCAGACGGCAGCTTGATAGGACCTTTAAGACTGTTAGTACTTGTCTGGCCTAAGCCAGCTAAGCCAAGCCTAAGCCAAGAAACTAAGCCAAGC